TTCAGTTACCATTGTGCTAGAATGCAAGTTATGTATGGGGAGCAAAGGTAGAGTTTGCTAGTAGTCTTTTCAATTGCCTTTTATATTATTACTCTATACTATTATGGCTACGGTTTAGTTCTACTTAACTCTAGTTATAAAGAGGCGCCTTGTGTTAGGGTTTTTTTTGGAACTTACCGCGGAGTAATTATATAGATTATAGAGGTTACTATTTCCTCAACATACGTTAAGGGAAAGATTGTTGCTGTTAACTTCATTTTTGGGGTAACCTTCTAATTTTGTCAGCTGGAATCGGTTAGGATTGGGATACTTATATCCCCAGTCATTAGTCTATAGCCTGCCGCGCTGCATGTTTTATCGAAGCCATTTCCTTTTGCACGTAGATGTAGCCTAGAAGGATGAACCATGTACTCACGTGTATACTCGTTTTTCTTCATGTGTATTCATCTGTGCTTGTTACTATCACCAGTATTATTTCTCTTCTAATATTAAAAAAATATTACATTTTCTTATAGAAAGTAAAGCAGCTTGCTTGTGAACAATTCAAGACCCATCAAAAGTCTAGAAAATGAAATCGATAGGTATCAAAATCCCCAAACCCATATAGTTATAAAAGCATTGCAGTTCAACTCGAAACAACCCCAAGAATAAAAAAAAAAACAGACAACTCACAGTGTCTCGCAAAATTTGAGTGAATTTGCATCGTGATCCATCATAAGGCTCTTGCATCAGAACCCATTGCTATAAAAAGGTCGCCCTTTGCAGCTTAGAAGTCTATCATACATAATATCCAACACTCTTATTTGAACTCATAATCTGGACCTTGAGTATGATAACAACTTAGCGGATTACTGGATGCTCCAGATACCTCTAGCTTGGATATCACACAAGAAGTACAGGAAGAAGAAATCTGAGCTTCGGAGGAAGTTCCGGATTTCTAACTACTCTTTGAAATGTTGCCAGGCCGATCTTCTCCACGTAGTCCTGGTGCTTCAGACAAGGTTTTGTGTCTTCGAGCGGCCTCAACGTATTCTTCTCGTTGGCTTGATCCTACACTCCTTGAGGATTTTCTGGAACAATGTTGTTGCCTGGGCTCTTGACTTAGTGAGAAAGAACTACAAAAAGCTCCAAGAGGAACACAATAGACTTGTTCAAACCACTCTGCTCTCTAGTGGAATAATTTGGACTTAATAGGGGAAACTAGAAATCCATAATACACAATAAGTCCAAGGCTCTTGTAGAATCATGATTTATGAAGATAATTTGTTGGAAATTGGCATTTTCTGTCATCATTTGCATATTTATGTATATTTAGCCTTTTAGTCCCACTGACTTGATTTATTTACCATTTACCATATATACCATGTAGTAAGAATATTTTGTTTCAAGCACATCTTAATTCATTGTTCTGAATTTTATATATATATATATATATATGAAATTATGTAAATACAGAGGTACTCAATGCTTTAGCAAATCAGCAAGCGGTCGTGAAATCGAATGCTTAGCCTCACAGGAATCAAACTGTAAACCAGCACTTTCTAAGCATAACACATATATTAGACTATTTTGTTGCATAAAGTGGCTGTCCACAATTTTGATACTTTGTTTGTATAGTAATTGCCTTCTTTTTTATTGCACCGTTTGGTGGGTCTTTAGAATATTATCATATAAAATATATTAAGATTGAAAATAATAATTATGTTCATTTAGATTGTGTCGTGGTTGGATTACATATAGAAATTATCACTTTAATCATCTAATGTGTGCACTTTTATGAAAGTCTGTATAGAATTGACCCATTTCGTGATGGATGGATTCCATATGGAACTTTAACAGTTTTGGAGCAAATAACGCTTACTTTGAGTCTTGAATAACAAAAGCGAATCAAACTTACACCTACAAATTAACCTTCTTCAAAACATACATTAAGTGCCACATTAATGCGCATCCGAATTCCTTGCGTGGGCTATGCTTTGACCTGCTCCAGGGACAAAGACTTTTAAAAGTCACGAGCGTATGTTAGGCGAGATTCGCAGCATATTTCAAGAGCCTGCTCAGAGGGTTGGTTTATCAAAATCGTGACTCATCAACATCGTGACTGCATTGGCGTTGCTCTCTTTGACGGCATGCATGGTACACCACAGAGAAGCTGAGGAACAAGACCTCCCTCGAGTAATCGAGTTCCCTAACTGTAAAGTCGCAGCTCTCGAACGCCCTTGAACCGCGTCGTCCACTAACCAGTGAGACTAACCGTTACTCCGGCGGCACAAGTCTTGGGCCGGTTGAAAGGAAGGTAAGGTAACTGGTTGGTGAGAGCGTCCAGTTTGAAATGTACGTGTGCGCGAATCGTGAGCGTCGCTATCGAACCTGGGTGAGAAACCGACGGACACGATTGGTGCATGAAGTGGATCAAGAATTCCCGCACGCTGGCAACGTAGGAAGGAGGTAAGTACAGCCAACTCTCGCATTCCGAGACGGAATCTAATCTAATCGCGACCTTCGGTCCCGCCGCGAGATGGTCAGGAATGCGACGGACGCGAAAGTCGAATGTTGCGACGGGCCGTTCTCTCCGCTTTCCCGCCCGGGTCCAATCAGTAGTCCACTCGATTCGTTCCGGGCCGCCGGAGTTCCCCGCTTCAAAACGACCGTTCAAATCGTCGTAGCTGTCATCGTGACAATGCTTTTCTGGCGCCAAAGCCACCTCTGTACACCTGCACAACCGAAGGTTTGGCTCAGTTGTTCGAGTCTGCGACTTCTTCAAAACATTGATAATAATAACATATATATGACTACAACTTCTACAAAATGATAAAGATTTATTTTTTAATTGTATACGTTCTTTCATATTTGTCAGATAATATCTTATTTTTGGTTTTAATCTTTCATTCAAATATTTGAATGAAATAAGTTCATTCAAATATAAATAAAAATCATTATTTTCTATTATTAATATTCACATAGTGTTACTTATAACACACACAAAATATCGTAAAAAATTGCTTAGTTAAATCTAGGCTTCTAGTGATGTTGAAGCAATGGTACGTTGTTTCTAAGCCCAGTAAACCTAAAGAAGTGTAATAGGCTTTTACCCCTCGGTCACGGTGATGTATCGAGCTTGGGACCTGATTTGGACCCGTCCGGATCACTACCATAAACAGATGAATGGTCGAATTTCCGAGTGAGATGAGATTTTGTTTGGAACAAATTTGATCTAATTTGTATACATCGTATTCTACATGCACTGGCTGCAACAGTTGTTAATATTTTACTTCCTTGAAAGACGACGACTGTTAAGACTCGCAGGTTATCATTATAGAGTGATTAGCATCAGGGGGATCATTGCTTTGGCCTTCCAAGTGACTCCCTTAACTCTCCTTTTTATCGACATCGTTCTTTTCATTTTTGAATGATTGGGTATCAGAATCGTTATAGTCTAAGAAATTTTTCGCTTTGTTGACTTATTTGGCACGATGAGCGAAATGCGATCGACTTAAACCAATTTCCTGCTCAAGACGACTGTAATGCATCGAGAAGCCGATTACACGTGCCGCCTGACAGCTGCATGCAAGCGATCTTCCATTGAAAATTCACCGCCTAATTCTCTGTGTCTCCGTGTGTAATTATTGCTCCGCCTGTTAATCCAAGATCTTTTGAAGATTTGTTTCTTGTGATGAAACATCTTCTGCCGAGATGTGATCGTCAGCAGAATGTGAATTTCCAGTCAACATCTAACGAACTGGAGTCCAGCTGCAGGAAGATCAAGTTCGATTTGTGATCCAGCAACGTTCACAAGAGGCTTGCCAGCAGGCTTTCTCTCCAACGGGGCTTCAAGGCCACACTGACCGGTTCAGTCGGTCCTTTACTTGCATCCGAGACGGCGAGTCCCACACATCCCATGCCCTACGCTAGAGTCCGATGGCCCCCAACGTACTAGAACTGGGTCGGGCAGTTTAGGGACTGCAAGAAACGTTGCGAGCCTCTGAAGACATTGTGTGAAGCTGTCTAGCTCACGATCTGAGATGGTCCAGATGAACGAGCTTCCGTACGAGAGGGCTACAATTGTCCTGAAGATAAAGTCCAACAGAAACATGTTGACGAGCTGAGTTGCCGAAAATCAGATTTCTGCTATTCTTCTTCTGGGTCTTGCTCCCAAGTGGGGAGAGAGACATCGGATGAGCATGATTCCGTACACGGTCGTAGAAATTGACCTGACGTGTTGGAGTAGTTAAGGTTTGGCGCAATTATGTATGTGCGCGTGGGGCTGGCGTACGATACCACGTAAAGATTATGAGTTTTGTTCAGCACGCTCGATCGTAGATGATGAGCGAGAGAGAAGCGATCTTGACGACGAGGCCATCTATCATGATGCATTTCTGACAGCCTGTCTGCCATGCAATGCAAGTTTCCATGAAGGAGATGCACCAAGTCGTCCGGCCATACTCCTAAGCCCTGCCCTGTCTGTCACACCACATTGCATTTGGACAGTACTTAATATTGTCTTCGTAGCTTGCCCAACAAAAGAGAATTTACGAACGAATGCGCATGAAGTTGCGATCGACTGTCCTCATTAACAGAAACTCCTGAAAAATGTCTATCGACGAGTCCTGTCCTTCGCACACCATGAGTTTCTCTCTTGAGCTCGGGGGTTGGGGGCGAGCTTTTTATGATCGTAAGATCCACCGATGCCATCCCATGCCAGGACTATTTTCTCGACTCGTATCAGTTTTTAACGGCACGAAGAATCATATCGCTCAACGGTCAAAAATCCGAACAGACGAGATCTGAAAAATAGAAGATTGTCTTGTCGCCTGCCACGGCCTAAAGTTTCAAATTGAAATTTTTTTTGCAGTCCTGTTGAAGCATGAGCTCGGTCACTGAACTCTCGAAAGCCCACGTACAGAGAGATTCGGGCGGCAATAATACGGCATCGTTGATTACAAGCGGCAGTGAGTTGTGTGCGGTATCAGAAGATGTTTCTAGACAACTCTTCGAGCAGTTATTTGAAACCGGCGACGATTGATATTAATCAATTAGAGTACATCAAAGAAGAGCACGTCGAAAAAAGCATCGACCCAGAGCGCTCGCTCAGTTTCCAGACGCTGAAGTTGACAAATAGAGATACGTGCTGGAAACTCTATGAGAGGAAATTCGCGAGCACGGACGTGACATGAGTTGGAGAGAGCTGTTTGATCGCTTTTCAGACAGGTCTATTCTAAACATGGTGACGACTATCACGTGTTGTAATGCCCCGCAAACGCAGCTTCTATCGATCCTGGGCAACGTCGAAGATAGTCCTTGCAGATGACTGATTACAGAATATGATGTGTTTCCCCATGACATAAACAATTGCTACATGCTGTAACTCTAAAGGGGTAAGCTACTGCTCCCCTTAACAGGTTCTGCAGCTATACAGAACAGGGGAGTATCTTAAGTATATAGACAAGAGATGAAAGAAGATAAACAAGGTGAAAGACTCCAAGTATGATGAAGTAATTCCACAGAAATCGATGAAAGTGTTTTCATCCCTTCGACGACGAGTATCTCAGAGCTCACGAAGATATGAGATTTTCCAGGAATTTCTTCGTTTGACCAGGTCGTGCAGCCACTTAGACAGCGGACGCTGCCGCTGGGGACGCCGTCGTCGCGGGGGTTGTCACCTTGACGTCGCTTGCAACCACGGGTTCTCCGTAAGTTGGTCCGAACTTGGTGGCTCCGAAAACTCCCAGGTGGAGCATCATCAGGTAGAGCAGCTGGGTAAAGCTGAGAATGATCACGAAGGCCTCTAACACCCTCTGCAATTATCCGAACCCGATAGGCACTCACTCCATCAGTTAAAAGCAGAGGAAAGAACTCGAGAGTTTTCAGCCTTAAGCGATCAAAGAATCAGTGACAAATCAGTATCTGCAATTCAAAGCTATGCTTACATGTTTAGTGCTCCTTCCGCCAATGTGAATTTCCTTCCAAGCAAGCCTGCATCATCGATGAAATAATATGCTTTCTCAGAAATGGATCCAAATTCGAGCAGCTAACGCTTACAACTTGACAGACTCGACATTTTCTTGAATACCGCTACAGTGTCAGTGACCTGTCAAGAACAACCGCACGCTTCTGTCTCGTAAAATGGAACTGTCCTACGACTGCTTATTGGACGTCACAGTTCCAAGGAAAACTTTGCAAACCAAGCTGACAGCACTGGCCGACTGGTGATCGAGCGGACTCCTCAGATTCCTCTAGCAAAGGTCCTACGACTGGTTGCATCGACATGCTCACTACCCAGAACGCACAGTTCGTATAGTTGCACAAATAAAGAAGTTACCCCATTGCGAGCAGCACGAGAACCCAAGACACCCATGTGACGGCGTTGGTGGCTGCCAATGTTTCAGTCTTCCAGACTTTCAGATGGTACAAGCCAGCAATAACAGAAGCGCAGCCCACGACACCAGCTACCAAGGCGAATGTAATGAAGAACGTTGTTGCCCCGTTTCCTATATTTTGACAACCATACAGGCAGTACGGTACGTTAAGGCCACTCCTCTGGCTCGAAGCCCAACTACATGATGAAGAACGTGCAACCCAATTTTTTCTCTGAATGTCTCATCTCACTAACAGAGGGCTCTTTAATAAACTCTAAGTCCTGAAGAGAGGAAGAGAGAGTGTGTTGCGTCTCAGAATTAACGAAAACAGCACGAGTGACTGAACTGTAATTGAACAGTCCACAAAACTCCTCAATACAAGGGACAGATCACGTCAACTGTCTTCGTCTTCATCGTCGCAACACAGCGGCGAAGAAAATCTACATTTTTCATTCTGATGCGTCACGAACATAAGACTTACCACCCGCACTGCCGCCAATGGCGTCGTTCAAGAAATGTCCCGAAAGACCAAGAACTATGATGAACATGGCGAAGTTCAGAAGCAGCAGCGGCAATGTCACGATTCTTCCATAATTAAGCTTCATCTTGGCCCCGCACAGCAACCGTAGTAACCCCCGGCTCCACAGATCAACTCAAACCACAAGCTCAACGAGTATGGGATGTGACGGCCGGGTCCGAGGAAGCCGGAAGCGAAGCTAACTCAAATGACGCCGAGGCACTCCGCCCGCTCGCTTCAAGACAGAAGTCGCATATGAACGAACGCCAAGACTCACTCCCGCACGCCCAGCACTGAGATTTAAGCGTTGAGGAGCCAGCGAGAGAGCTATCAGAGCTTCACGCGTTGAATCTGCCGCCAGAGCGCGAGCAGCAACGAATAAATCAATGGAGGCTTCAGGAGCACACGAATTGGCGACAGAGAGAGAGCGAGAGGGAGAGGGGGGGCGCTCGAGCGTTTCGGGCTCGCGCTGCTGCTGCAGGAGCTGTTAGTGCTGCCGGTCCGCCGGGAGAATTAGAATTTAATCATCGTAGCAAGAAGCGATGGAGGCGCCCGGGCGAGCAGCCGTGTCGCGCGATCCTCGTCAAGCGTCGCAGGCGCTCTCATTGGTCGAAACATGCGGATCCCATGCAGATGCAATTGTTCCGATCATCGACTGGCCGTGATCGGGCTCGAACCCTGCGCGCGTTTGCCCACGTGAGTTCGTCTAGCCCTGTCAGCCCTCGGCCTTTCCAGTGGGGCCGGGTCCCAGTCCTACCCGTCAGACCCGTGATCATACCCTGGGCTATCCTGAATCTCTCAGTATATCAAGTCTGTTATGAATGTCTCCCTGTCATACTCTTCATTAAATACCTACCAAGTACGAAAGCCGCCACGATCAAATGTTTACCTGGGAATGTAAATTTCGTATCTACCCGGTGCAGAAATCTCGAAACTGGACTCGCAAACACAAATCAGGTCTTTCATCTTTCTAGAACAAACTCTAAAGTACTAACTGAGTAAAAATGCATTTCCTTCTTTTTCTATGAAAATATTTTACATGAAAATAATCAATTGAGTAATTAAAAATACTGGATAAATATAATTTCTTTTAAATTAGAATAATTTCTAAAAATACCTTTAAAAATATTTATCGGATTAATAAATTATATAAATATATCTATCATAATATGTTTCAAAGGTTAAATTATGTCTAAAATTCATTATTATTGATAATAAATAATTAATATCAACAGCTCTTCTCCCAAAGAGCTCCTCTATCCGAGGTCCAGATACTATCTTCAAATAAACTTCCACACTATTGAAAATTATCAAAATCAATGTCTCAAATTTTCAATACTGATCAAGAAACGTTGATAACTGTACATATGTCTCTAACTTTAACTAGAATTAATCAGAGTGTAATATTTCTACCAATGATCAAGAGCCAAAAGTCCATCAGCCAGTACTGTACATTATTCACGGAAGTGTCTATTTTACCACTTGACTTCAGAGACACCATGATTTCCCTCTGCTTCCACTCATATGAACCTGTACTGGAGACACATATCCTCGCAAACATAAGTCCATATTAATCAGAGCTTACTCTAATCGTGGGGAAGAATGAGCGTTCTCTTTCCTTCCAATAATCCCAGGAACAATTATCAAGTACAAGTTATGGATATATATTTCCTTAAATCCGCTAGATGGTCCTTAGTTAGTAGCCTACCTATTCCATTCCTTTTGTTTGAAGTCATTGCTCCGACTCATGCGGCTTACCGAATTTAAGGAAAAGAAAGACATGCACAAATAATCTCTGATATGCCATTTTTTATGACCCAAAATATCTTCAATCGACCGAATGGCTTACGCGAGAATAATAATTTTTGCAACAACCAGAATGATGTACATTCTCATCACGATACACTCCGCAATCTCATAATAAGAGGAAAAGTGGTTAACTTTACTGAAGAAGCTAACAAAATTTAAAATAGATTTTTTGATCGCCCTTTCGGGGCCAAGTGAAAATTGATTCTAGTGTAAAGGGAAAAGAAAAGCGGATCAAAGTGAGAACTAACTAATCAGAAATTGGCACAATGAACGTGCAGTATGATCTCCGTTATGGAAGCGGGACGTTATAAGATAAGGATGAGATCAACAGAATCCGGCCATAGAGAGGCAGGCGTCTATGGAGTGAGACCGAAATCCAATGATGCCGTCCCTGGGCCCCTGAGAATTCCTCTTTTCGGAAAAGTTGCCGCCAGTGGTGTCGAATAAATGGCGTCTTGAAAACGAAATGAGCATCAATGCAAACAACATTGAGATGCTGCGAACAGTCCTGTTCCCATACCAGTCATTGAATTCCCAGTAGAAGTATAAAATCTCCACTGTGAATCAAATGATGCATTCGTATCCTGGTTCAAGCGTCTTTCGTCCTTCTTTCGTCATCAAGCTTCCAGCTACGATCTCAACGAAACAAACTTCCTTCCTCTCGACAGACAACTCGTTCGCACTACACTGCTCTCCAAGATTGTACTGCCAACTACAGGGCGAAAGTGAAGTCATGCTGAATGCGGAAGTGAAACCCTAATTGCATCCCCGGAATAAGTTCTTAGAAATGGAGGCTTGCCGAGTGAGCAGGAGGAAATGGAAGAAAATCGGACCATCTACCGAAAATTATATAGTCCATAAGGGATCGTCACCATGGAGCAGCCATCTTCCTTGTTCTACCGGGACCTGTAAGGACTGAAGAAAGATGCCCATGTTTTGTACATGATCCAATCGGTGCACTGAATGAAATCATGAGCTTTTAGTACGGCACAACATGTTCCTGATGCTCCATACGATCTCTCACAGATGTTCTGTTTCATGTCGAGAAAATCGGATTGTCGAGCAATTTGAGGTTATACTGAACGTCTTCGCATATGATCTCCTCCACCCGAGATTTTTCGAGTTGGAGGCGGTGTTCCTGCCAGACCGGACATATAATGCATACTACCAACCCTGGAGGCATGGAGTCAGGGAAGAAACATTGTCCTAAGAACGATTCGAAACAGCTGGTGCTGACTCCGTCCGACATCATTGCTGTAGAGAAAACCAGTCGCCTAGAGGAATCAAGAGGAGATAGGCGCCGCCAGTTCAGATCCAAACGTATTCGGCTTTACGTGGTCATTAACTTCATAGTATGCAAGTTAATGGAATACACCTGTTGGGGCATGGGAGACGTATCCTTACGAACAGTGTTGTGTATATGATATGACCCACCATATCGATGCAGAATAGTCGAATAAACAAATCTTGATTGTCCTAGTCGAGGTCATGCCATGTTCCGATCATTTCGTTATGAAAGCTAGTGGAGATGCTTCGTTACGTCTCCTCTCTCGAGAATTACTGAGTTGTATGCATTTATAACCTCCAATTACAAACTCTAGTTGCATGTGTTTAATTAATCCTGAAACACTGATGTCGTTGGTAGAATGTTCGTACCACGTTGATCTCAACATGGGATGCTCTTCATGTCGCCAACCCTTAGACACGGGAGCATCAAACTCTTATCAGGGTAGCAAGAACCCTCCTCCGTCGTACTTCCGTATCCCAGGATAAGCTTTAAAAGGCCAATTCAAAAGAGATTATTGAAGTTGAGCAGCTGTGACAGCTCTCGACAAAAACCCAGTCGGGTCCTTACCACAATCCAACTCCGCCATATGTCAAAAGACATCAAAGCACGTCAAGAATCGATTTTGCTGCATGTCAGAAAACCTACAAGCTTCAACTACCAACCCACGATGGAAATCGGTCAAGACGATTGGAAAGTGTGATGTACGCCGGCACTTGAAGGACTTGGATCAAATAGCATCATCTCCTTCTCACCTGGGGTGATATGCATTAAATTCCGGCGCAAAGACGATGAAGAATAGCCGACGAAGCATGCATACCGACCCTTAGGACAAATAAATGCGCAGGAGAAGTGTCAACCGCCCCGACTGCGGCCCGATCCCATTCGATCGTGTCGAGAACTCGATGGGATCTGGTCACTACCGGTGCCCAGCGCTGAGACCGGAAGTCACCAAGCAAGGAGAGCTGAGCTGCGCATGATGTGGACTTGCGGAGTTCTGTTAGTACGAGGAGGAGGAGAAAACTACGGCAAGGACCGAGAGCCACTGCCAGAGGACCGACGAATGGGAAGAGTTATTGAGGACCAAATGGATTTAGTGTGTATACATACAAGAACACCCATTGCAAGAAGTGCAGGACATAATAGGAAGGTAGGGTATATGACGCTGTTGTTTCCTGGGAAACACTCGCATAGAAATGAATATGTTCCAAATTCACTATCCACAAACTTCAGTTTGTGGATAATGAGCAATTGTTTCGTTGAGAAAGTGCGTACTTGAACAAGTTTTTGCGGATAAAAGACAGCCAGCAGAGCAAGTTGTTTATATGAAATTGTCTAACCTCTTCATTACTAGGATGTGATTGTGTTATTATGACTGGTTGATAATTTTGAGTGCAAAATATAGCTATCTATGATTCCATTGGGAATATTGTGTTTTCAATGAAATGAGAGTGTGTTGAGATGAAAATAACACTAGACTAGGTAGCGCAAAATCTAATATTTTTTATTCCCATCATAATTATGTACTTAAAAATCAAAGTGAAATCAAAGGACTCATTTTTGCTCATTTTATTTACAACAAAATGTGTAAGTTTTTCCATATAAATGTATTAAACATATCACATCAAATTCCAACATCAATAAATCAAAAAATATACATCGGATTTTTTTTAATATATATGAATAATAAGCCTTTCAATTAAGAACTGGCTATAATGGTATAACCATAATTTTCAAAGATAGCTAAAGTAACATAATATTCAAAAGTAGCAACAAGAAAAATAAAAAATAACAAGTTTGGAAATCAAAATAGCTCAAGTATTGAAAAATCAAACAATACATGTACAAAATAACGTTCTTGGAAAATTAATGCAATAATCAATTTGATTTTCAAATTTAATGATATATTTGACATTATTTTGATTTAGAGTTAATTCAGATACATATATAGTCATGTAATATATATATTTGTGAATCATTAAATTGATGAATATATACTATATTTCATGCTTTTATTCCACCCAGCATAAGAATATTTGAACAAAATCATTCAGTTCTTTTAATTTAATCTAATCCCCAACTTTTTCTGTAGAAAATATAAATGTAAATTTAATTTCAATTAATGGGTATATATCAAAATAAAATAAAAATTAATATTTATTAGAATAAATTTATCAGAAAAATAACCTAAAATCAGATTGAAGATTTTTGCATTATTTTGGTTTTAAGATTTTAAATGTAAGTGAAATAAATTATATTTATACTTACTTATAATTTATTTAATACAAAATAATTTTATAATTCAACAAATAAATATTTCTATGACCAATTTAACATGTAAAATTGGTATAAAAAACTTTTATTGGACATGGTTTGATGAACTATCTAAATAAAAAGCAAATTTGACAAGAGATTTGTTTAAACAAATTAAGAAAATTCTCAAGACCAACATAATGATATAATGAACATGGTGAAATACGTATGTGCTTAGTTTGTGATGGCATCTTAAAATATATTAGTTGAAAAATTTTGGATTCTCAAATCTTAACAGAGTTGTTGATTTTTTTACAATATTCTTCTGACCACATTTTAGACATTTCAATAAAATCAGAGTATATATCATGTTTTTCATATTGTAAACTCAATAATTGATTATAATTAACATTGAACTAATTTATAATAATATTTAATAATTAATAATCAATTATTATCAATAATTCTAATCAATTATTAATTAATTAATAATATAATAATTTTTTAAATAAAACTTAAAGTTCAAGTAAAAAATCAATATTTTATGTACATCAAATGTTAATTTTCAAAATTTGTAAGCTTTACAATTTTTTTGCAGATGTAGCATATCAAAATTTGCGCTGAAGTTATAGATAAATTCTGATCACATAGTACTGAGTGATTATGAAATGAATTTTCTTTCGCACTTGAAGAGAAGTTTGTTGTGAATAAAATTAAATTTGATAATAATTTGGAAATCTTTAGTTTTTGAACCACATAAACTTGTTTTTTTACAACAAAAAAACATCATAATAATATGCAAGAGTCATTGAATGGGATTACATATGCGCAACTTAGAGTAAAACCTTCATCTTCATCACAAACATGATATCTACAAATTTATTTTAAAAAAATATATCATGGAAGAAAACTATGTATACTTTTGCTGCTTTGAAGTCAAAAGTCTCAATTTTATTTGAGATTGACAAAATTTGAGAGCAGAGATTACAATTTCAAAGCACATATTTGATCAATAAGAATTTACATCAATAAAAAAAAATCAAAAAAAAATTCTATTTACAAAATATACGTTAAAAAAAAGAAAAACCAGCCCAAAAACCCATTCACATAGCACGTGATGAAAAATGTACACACTTAAATCCAAATTTGGAATATTATACTCATCAAAATAATCATATTACGCTGAAGACTAACACAAGAAGCACGAGATGACCAGTATTAGGTCTGCAAACTCAATCACATTACACCAAGTAAGACACCTATGTCTTTGTTACATTAGCAGTTTCTAACATACAATGAGTTTTTATATTACATATTAAAACATGAACGTTCATAATAATGTATTAAAAAAATCTAAAATTCATGTTTAAGAATAGCCCTATGCCCTTTATAAATGAGTGATTGAAAGTTCAACGTAAATATGTTTATACGTCAGAATTGATTAAATTCGTCTTTATTAAATTTAAAGTAAATTTGTTGGCTAACTTGAAGTTAGGCTTTATTTACTTATTTTGACGTTCCAAATGGGTCTTTTAAGAAGATATTTGACATAGAAAGTTCCAGTTCTTGGGTATAACAGGATTTAAATTTTTAACTTATATATTATATATATATATATATATATTCAGCATTAATATGGTAATGTCAGCTTCAATCTTTGTTTGGTAACCTCGGAATCATGCTAGTCTGCTGAACTTCAGGTTGAAAATATCATCTCTATGTTCGAACGTTGTGGAACTTAAAACCAGACGAAACAAAGTAATTCAGCCGAAGATTTTCTTGAATATGATACCCCTGGACTTGTAATCTTAAATTTTGTACATGCCACCCCACACTGACGTGGCGCGGTCCAAGAAAGATAAAATGTCAAATTAGTCACTTCATTCGACTTTACATATACATTTGTACTCATAAATTTTAGAAATATGGAATGTGTGGAAAGGAGGTGTATTCAGGGTTCTATTCCGGTCGTATTTTTAGCATTTGGTATGTCTAGGTTTAGGGATGAAGTTCAGATGTTGAGAAAGCTCTGCGATCTCGTTCGTCCTTCTGCTCTGTTTTGTAGAACATGGTTCTGATTGTTCGATTTTGACAACAACCATGGATGCAGCTAAGGATCGTTTGATGCGAAGAGTGACGATTGGTGTAACTTCTCTCGTTGCCGCACTGATGATTACTGCGGATTACGGCTCGCATCCTCATGCACTCTCTGCTGTAAGGCTTTTCTAATATTTGTTGTTGTTGTTGTTGCCCTTTTGGTTGCATAGGACACATGCCCGGTCTGTTTCTCCTTTTAGGAACTGAACACGTATCAGAAAGTTCATAATTCTGTGAGCAAATTAGATGGAAGAGATGACAAAGCGAAGGATTGCTTTGAGACATTCTGTCACACCAAATTTACCAGAGACAATTCACAGGTGACGAGATGGTGGGATGCTGGAAAGGAGTGGTTTCTTAAGCCCTCCGAGAAAGAATTGGCGGAGCTGGAGAAAATTCGAAAGGAGTTCAACGTGCGGAAGGTTACAGAGGACGATCACGAAGGAACCAAGTGATCTTATCTGTAGATGAACTTTTTACATCCCGTGTTTTACGATGTTGTGAGCTCGAATGTACAGACGCCGGGAGTTGCAATAGAGGATTGGAGGTGATGTCGTGTTGGCTAGCACACTTGGATACCATGAGGTCGGAAACTTTTGTGTTCACCCATCGATGCCTTTTCTGGTGCCCTCCTGCGAAATGTATTGTGGTGGCTGCTCAGATTCCAGGTTGATTGAATGCCCGAACTCGACTTAGGTTGGACCTCATCGAACATCAATTTAACTCCACTTCAAGGTCTGTCAAGTGGTCGGCGAAGCCATTCGAAATAAAACACAAATGAGCCTCTACAAGGCTGACGCCAGGTCACAAATTTCCTGTGTTAAAACACTTGGTGCCGAGAGTGCCAGCATCACAAGTCTGGAAGCTTTAGTAATATTTATCAGCTGGAGACTTCGAAACGGAAGTTATGGGAACTATAGTTCCCATAACATCTGTATAGAAATTGTTAGCCCAGAAGAATAGCAAATAAGCTATAGTTCTGCCTGCTACCTATTCTTCATGGGATACTATACATCATAACGGGAGTTTTCGTCCACATCGCTTTTCACATCCACTACTGCGTGAGAACACGGATGACAAGAACCAGGCAATTTAGCACATCAACACAGGCATCAAATGTCAGGCAGTGAAGTTGGTTGTTATGCTGGATCGTGCGATACATAAAAGTACCTGTGATGATGGTTATATTGTAACATACTGATTTTCTCGTGATGTATCTAGCATCGCAGATTGGCATCCTGTAATCTACTCTGTATAATTTCTTGACTAAAGCGAAGGGACTTTTCATTTCATGCATCAGTTATTTATGATCACGTACAAGAATCGAAGGTCAGAAGTCACAGTTATTACACCTCCCTGCGTGACCTCTGAGAATCAGAGGTCAAGACTCTTTTCACACAATCAGATTTGGAACGTACAACTCGATTTGTTCTCCGGTCGGGCTTTTCTTCTTCCAAATGAGCTGTCGTATTAATGGGTGTGCTTCTATCAATCAAGTCGGGCAAGCATATGAGGAGTGAAAGCCGTGGCACATCGAAAGATCCGACTCTCAGATTTCACAACGTCGAAAAGCAATAACCGATTATGATGTTTGGGTAAATCATTCGAATTGCAAAGATCCAAACCAGTGGATTATCCATCCGTTCCTACATTGTGCTTGGTCAAAACTTGCTAAAAGATAACAGCTTAGGATATCAAACTTTCAAGAAAATATGTTCGGAAAGTCTCTCTATCATAGGAGGTAGGTATCATACCGCAAACCCGGTATGAGTCTCTGGCCTCGTTGCACGGCGAAACTGTGTACCCAGAAGCGGATGCGAATCATGCAAGGTATAGAGAACTGTGTCACGCTCTCGTCACCTGTAGGTCCGGTCACAGATCAATGGTGGAAGGATGAGCCGTCAAAATGCCCCCAACAGGCGGCCGAGGAGAACTTAAAGTTCGAACGGGGTTTTAGGGGGAACTTTGGCCGCTACTGCACTGCGTTGGACTGGAGAGCGGAGCTAAATTTGGAGGCTCAATTTGAGGGAGGGACAATGGTCCCCAAAAAACTGCACGAATGAGCGCGACTGACTGACTACCGGGCGGACGTCTTGAACGAAGAAAGCGCGGGCGAAGATATTCTTCGAGGTTTGGTGCGGGTCCTGTTTGGTAAAACCTTGGAAACGAGGTTTAGCTCGCTGTACCCCTGAGCCAGCTTCTCTTCTGTCACTTCCCACATTTTCATTCGACGACGATAAGACTGCCGTCATTCTTTTACTCGTACTATCTTCTGACTCTTTTTCCTCTCCACATCTGTATTTGAAATTTTTTTCGGCTGGTGCTGGAGAGTTTTAGTTCTCGTTTCGGCTTCTGCATAGCTTCTTCAGCTGCTGACAGTGGAGGCGTACGACCTGTTCTAGATATCGAGTGACAGGGAGAGAAGGCCGGGCCAGGCAGGCAAGGCTGAGCGACCATGGTGTCGTATCGCCGCCTGCAGGCCACCGTGGAGGCGGCGTTGCGCGCGCCCAAACCCGAGCCGCATCATCGTGCCGACCTTGCGCACGCTTTGCATCTATGCAACGAGGATTTGAAGAATTTTCTGTTTTATCCGGTACTGTTGTCTCGCCAGGTTTATGTTGGATTTGGAATTGCTGGCAATCTTTGAAAAAATTGTTGAAAACCGAAATGTGAGGTTTGGTGAAGACACGAGTCTGATAAGGATGCATTCAGCTTCGAAGAATGTGGGAAAGCAAGGATTTACTACCACTGATTGGCCCGTACATTTTTGCTGGGGATCGCTTGCACTTTTTGTCCCTAATGATTCAAGCTGTCAAGTTTTGCTAGGACAGTATTGGCTCATTTTCGTGCTGCATTTTTCGTGGCTCATTTTCATTAGAATTTTCTGAGGTTGACAATGTAGAACTGTTCCTTGACTGTGCCTATTACTGTGAGAGTACTTGCAAAAATCTGAAGCGCTCACAGGCAATTGACATTTGATTAGACTTTAGAATGTGCTGGTATCAAAGTGTTATAGCAAAATTGACATGTGATGCAGTTCAGAGTCGGGCGGCACGGATTAGTTCTTTCTTTCTCTTCTTCTGTCTGGGTTTATTAGCTTGCATATTATTTCATCAGCTTAGAAATACCCCTAGTAGTAGACTGTTTCGTCAGTAACGACAACCAGGGTCGCATTTCGAAACTGAACAGGTCTCGTCATCACACGTATCGTTGGTTGATGGCAGTGTAGAATATTAATAAATTAGTGTTCTCAGTGATCCTGTGAAGGCTTCATTTAACACATCTCAGCCGGCTTTCCTTGCAGTCAACTTCTTATAAACGTGTCATGCTTTTAACCTCTCCTAATCTGAATATAAAGTCTGAAGTTGTGTATCTAAGTCAACAGTGTGGGTATCCAAGATCAACAGCCTTGGATGGAAACTGTAGATCCACAGCCTTGGATGGAAATTGTAGTATGGTACCCTTCGTATGTTGTGTTGGTGGAATGTTTGTGATAACATGAATGTACGGACATACATTTTGTTCTGTCTGAACACCCTGACTTATTGCTCTGTTGCAACTGTCTAAGTACGTCAGGTGTTGTTATCTAAGATAGGTACCATGTGTGCGGAGAAACTCTTCTTCTGACCAAATATGGAATTGTGTTTCATTTTATGCAATTTTTCTCCAGGGTCCTAAGGCAGAGGACAGGCAACAGGTTTTGTCGAAGGAAGTGCGATTACCGAATGCCCCGCCAACCATCCTTGATAATCAGGATGCCGAAATAGTAAATAATATTCAACTTCAGCTTTTTCCTGCTGGAAATACATTTAGAATAATGAATGTAACGGAAAGAATGTCCACAGGAGCTCGATAGGTTTATAGGACCGAGAGACAGGGGATGCATATGCTTCATATCGATCTTTGAACAAGTTTAGTATAGTGAGTAGTGTGTGCGTTGTGTCAAACTTCTCATATTGTTGAGCTCCTTATCCTATCAGGTTTGTTACCGTCTTTGTGTGTGTTTGATATTCGTATATTACGTACCTGTATACATGGTGGACCAGTACCAGAGTCTTTCTTTAAAAGTGATACTTTGAACATGATCACACTTCTTTGTCACTGATGTACATAGTTTCTTAAAGTCCTTTCTTACATGAGCATCTTATATTGCAGGCACTGAAGCTCAGTGATGACTTCCACTTGAATGAAGTGGACTGCGTTAGTCTTTTGGTGGCTGCCCATCAGGAGGTAAGAAACTTGCATCTTCATATATTACGAGGTGTATCTTCGTGCTGGAAGTTCACGTTCTTAATATATTCTCCAATGTTTGTTGCAGTGGAATTTACTTGGTCGGGAGCCTCTGGAAGTGCTAAGATTGTCAGCTGGTTTATGGTTCACTGAAAGGAGAGCGTTGATAACCGCTATGCAATTAATGCTCCGCGTAAGTTCTTCTTTTGTTCAAATGTTACTCTTGTCTGAATGTACTGATATTTACTGAAATTTTGAGCTTTTGCATTACATGCTACTAAACTTTTTGGAGTCACAGATGTATCTCTTGATTTTCTGTTATCAGTTATCTGCAGCGTTTGTTCAGTGATCTTAATTTTTGTCGTTTGTTGGCAGGACAGGCTGTTGTGCTGGACGAGGATTTAGATCCCGATTTCGTAGGAGAGATTCGGCAGTTCATAGAGGGATTGGTCGAAGCAGGGTTCAGGAGACGATTGATCTCGCTTATTAAGGTTGGAGTTTTTTTAAATTTCATATTGACTAAAAGGCAATATTTTTTTTCAACATCTGAACATACTTCTCCTGAACTTGATTTGAAAAAATAAAGAACAGGGCATAGGCTTTTCCATGTTGAGATAAGAGGTTTGTAGAAATGATCTTTGAGGTCGCAATACCTTTTGATCATACATCGATCATAGTCGTTGTCTTATGTTGCAAAGAGTTGAATCCAGCGTATCTTGTGAAGATTTAAGACCTCTATGTTTGCGGTTTCCTCACCATTTACCTTTCGAAATGGATGGACATGAATTCTTAGTTTAGGATTTTCCTGCTTTGCTTCTATGGTAGGTAAATATTTTGAGTCTAACAGAAACACTGTCATCAACAGGAGATAAACAGAGAAGAACCAGCTGGATGTGGCGGTCCTGGAACAGAACCCTATGTCATGGATGCAAGAGGAGCCCTTGTACTTCGGCGAAACATTGCGCAAAAGGAACGTCTTAGCATTAGCCAGTGTCTAGTCTTGTCATGCCTCATAGTACGACTGGGTGAGTGCGCAAGTGTCCGAAGCTCTTCACTTGTGCGGGGTTTCTGTAAGGATTCTTGGAGGAGTCGAATGCTATGTGAACTTCTTTATCGATCTCTCATCACATGTTGCTCATGTAATGTTCTGGTATCCAGATGCGCAAGAAGCCAAGGAAATTTATAGTCTTCTCAAGGACTGTTCAACGGAAGCGAGCATCATAAATGATACTGTAAAGCTTCAGGTATCTAACTCCTAGGATCTGAAGGCGTACTTTTGTTCACTAACGTTCACTCATGCTCGTTGATATCTAGTTTCAGTGCACATCGACGGTTGCTGGGTCCGAACATTTTTTTAAATCATTGAGTGAATTCGTTAGATTCTTCCCAACTTGTGCTGTAATCAGTCGGTTTTGTATGCTGTGATAGAGCGAAGGAACCGTAGCATTTGTTGTACAGAGCTCTCGACGCTGAATGAGGCTCTTGATTTTTGTTGTTAAGAGCAGAATGAGATAATTACCACATTTTTCGTTAAAAGACTTCTTGCGCTGTCCAGGTTTCCTACACAATTATGTTCGCGCTTGCAATTTCTTTGCTATCAGATGCCCTTGGAGGCAGTCAAGAAGTGGGATCAGTTTTATCTTTTGATCCGGTCTTCCGGCGCGAGTTTCAGAAGCAGGTATGGTCATCTGGTATACCTATGCCTGTGTTTGCTTTTATCTAGAATCGAATGAAGCTTTTGTCGTGTGTATTATGAAGTACTGAAGTGCTGTGGTTTCCTGCAGGTGATGGAAGTAAACAATAGGGGCTCAAATGAGGGCTTTACCGGTGTTATTCGATTTGTGTGGTCGGTATTCATGATGTTGACCACAGGCACTTCGGAGGAGGAAGCTGGTACTCGAGCCTGCCTGGATTGGGCATGTGAGAACAATGTGTTTGACTTTCTTACTACTACAGTCCTCAAGACTGCAGCTTATCAGGTGTGTGTTAGTGTTGTTTTTTTAGCCAACAGTTTGTTACTCCTGGTCGTAACCTTCTGCTTGAACAAAGACGTGTGCCGACATTAGGTTGTTATAAGGAGCTCGGTGTCACTTTCAAGATACTGTTTGGGATTCATTTATTACATGTTGTTGCAATTACAATTTCGTATCAGAAGCCCGTAGTGTTGTAGTTATTATTAACGTTTCAAACTAGTTTCTTGCGACTGTAAATAATCTGAGTTTTGAAGTGAGTAGATATGATACACGTCACTGTTTCTTGTAGTTCTTGACGATATGATGGTTTCATGTTTTCGGAGTTTATCATATGACGCTATCCTGAGGGAAGCTTTGATTGTCACATGGTGCTTTCGCGGTTCTTGTGGACAGAACGATGACGAGGACCTCATTTTCATGTACGATGTGTATTTGCACAAGCTGATAACTAGCTTTCTGTCTCAGTCGCTTGGGCATGGGAAAGTAAGATGCTTATACTCTCAAATCCAAGTTCGCATATTTTTTTCTCTACATTTTGATATAATTGTGTGTTTCTTGCTTGCTACCCTGCTTGCCTTCAATTAAAGATCAGTATACTCCGAGAAGCTGCTATTAGGGAGGTGCTGTTTAGAAGCCACAGAAGCGCTTATTTAGAAAGAACATTTCGTCATTACATTCTGAGGTACTTCATGTGAAGTTAATTAATAGTTTTGTCGCTTGACTTGTATCTGCCAATCTAGGTGAAGGAACTGAAGGAAATGGCAATGATCGCCCTGGATACTTACATGCATGAAGCAAAGGACCCACTGGGAGATGACGTTGCTCGAGCTGAGCAGCAAGCACTACAGGCACAAGCTAAGCCCTTCATCTCTCTGCTGGACTTCATCTCTGAAGTATATCAGGTTTGTAGCATCCTTATCCAGTAATTCACCTTAAACGATTATCCTTTTACAGGAGAGACTTGTGATCGTAAAGTATACTTGACTAAGTAAAACTGTATGGGTAAATAGCTACAAGCGAACTTAATTAAGACTACGATTCGTAAAAGAAGGCAGATCGGATGAGTTTGCTATCGTGTAAATTCTTCTCTTCAGTTTGTACGAAGTGTTGCATTCTTTCGTTGTTTCTCACAGGTTCTCCTTCACGCGTTTTACATATGGGAACAACTGTTTCGCCTGTTTCTTGCAGAGAGAACCAGAACTCACTCTTGAGAATGATTTGTTGTGGAATTTCGTTCGTTTCTCTGGAGAAGATCACACTAGTCATTTGACCTTGGTGGCCTTCCTAAACATGCTTACATCGCTGGTCTGTAAGAAACAAACTTGCAGCTTAAGTTTTTTTCTAGTAGAAATATGCATTTAATATAGCTGATCTAGATTCGGATTGTTTAGCCGTCAAACATTCTTTTCATCGGGACAAGGAGAATCTAGTCGTCCATTGCCCTTCCCATGGGTTCTTCAAGTTTGTGGCTCTTGTCAGTACCCTTTTGCATATAGATAATGTATGAGTTATTCTCTTGACTGACAACATGGTATGGTAATACCAATTTCAGGCCTCCAATGAAGATACCGCAAAGAAAGTGTACCAGTTGCTTCAAAACAAGACCATTCGCGCTGTTGGATGGCAGACACTTTTCAACTCCCTAAATGTGTACGATCAACGGTTCAAACAAAGTTTACAAATTACGGGAGCTTTGCTACCAGTCTTTCAAGTTGGTGATGCCAGAGCACTCGAGGCTTACTTGAAAGTTCTCAAGAAGGTTAACAGTTCTACCTACGAAGTTTTCTTGGTTGGCTTCTGAATTACAACTTTGTAAATTATTCTTGTCCGAAGTTTGAAATGAGGATCAGTTTTTTTGGTTGTTGCTCCAACGAGAAATTCAAGGAATCGTACCCTTTCATCTTGTCGTACTCCCCTACCGCGGCCCTCCCGCCCCCCCTTCTTCCACGAATTGTACCAACTAGCCAGGGTTTGGCGTCTTTGGTACTGAGGCCTTAACAGCCTAATCCCAACGATTTAAGTTTTTAAAGACTTTAAGATTTTTGTTACCTCCTCACGCGTTTGTTCATCTTCTTTGTCCAGGTGATGGAAGTGGGCAGTGAAGCAGAAAGGTCACAATGGTTTCCTGATATTGAGCCTTTATTCAAGCTACTCCCTTATGAAAATGTCCCTCCCTACTTGAAGGTAAGCCTATGACAATTTACGTGGTTCACATTCATTCGACTATTTTTTTAGGGATTGGTTAGTCGCCTTGACACGGATTATACTCTAAGGCGTCCGAACATAATGTACGCATTTGCATGTTATCATCATTGTCCATGACGGAAGCCGAACCTTTTTCTGTGTACTGGAAAAGTACATGCGAAACTGGACTACTAATTCTTGCAGTCCTTTTACTTTCTCTTTAATCCTACCAGAATCCTAATATCGAATAAAGATATACTTAATGTGAACCTTGTCTATGTTGTGTCATATGCAGTACTAGTGGAGAAGGCTTTTTCCAACTGCCCTATGTTTGCTGTCACTTTTCCATACAAGAGACGAGTCCACTGTAAACTCAGCAATGACATGTTGGCATGATGGATGTAGGGTGCACTAAGGAATGCAATTTCAGTGTATGTTCAAGTGTCACCGGCAATGAAAGAGAAAGTATGGCGCTTACTAGAACAATATGATCTTCCAGTACTTGCTGCACCGATTGTTGCTGAAGGGAATATTCAACAGCTCCCATCCCAGGTACCAAATGATATTATGACGGGTCATCGTTGGTTCAGTGTAGTATATCTATGAACTTCCTCAGGCATATTTTTTTGGAAGAGAACATCAAAAGTGAAGCATCTCTCGATGCAGGCATATGACATGACCTTCGAATTGAACGAAGTGGAGGCAAGGCAGGAAGAGTACCCATCCACTCTTTCTTACCTAGAACTACTCAATGTTCTTATGGCAAATGAAGTTGACAATTCAGACAGAGGTCGTAGGTACGTTCAGATCTTCTATACTTTTGATTCTGATTTTTAGTTGACATTTCTAATCGATAGCTATCGTAATATATATTGCAGCCTGACTGCTTGTACTCAACATGCACTTTATCGGTAGTGCTTTTTTGAACTTTCAAGGACCGATCGGACTCTTTTCCCCTTAGATTCCACTGCATCATAAGCTTATGTTTTCTTTGCGTTGTCTACTTCTTCTTTATATATGTGGGTTCACGGTGAACTTCCTCTGATCGTCACAAAGCACCTGGTGATGTTTGGCAAAGTTTTCTGTAGTTATGCAACCTGCCAAGCATATCCAATATCTGTCAAGGACCTAATGTTAATCTACCAATACATAAAACTTCCCTTCCCCTTGGTGATGAATCAAAGGATTTTTAACGTTTATCTGCATCAGAGTCCCATGTGAGATTGTAAAGGCATGTCGTTTGATGTGTTGTTGAATGTTGTTACATGCATAGAGTTTGTAACTCCTGCGCCATGACAAAAACTAAAATGTGTTTACACAGGTATAGTGGCATCTTTCGCTTTGTCCGTGATCAAGTATTTGGACCTTTCGCCCAAAGAGCGTATGCGGATCCTGTTGAAAAGTGGAAGCTGGTTGTGGCTGCCCTCACTCATTTTCAAATGTAAGTCTTGACCTTGATCTAGATGGGGAAAGTCTGCTCACAGAGGCTCCTTGAGATGAGGTTGCGGTAGTTTTTCTTTTGAGATCGCTTACTAATATCTCTAAATCAAATAAAGGATATCACTTAAACTTGTTCATGGCATCTTCAGTGCATCAAAATCTGTGCCGCCACTTTTGTGAAACAGCCTATGGTAAAGCTTGGTATCTTTCCTGACGTGTAAGATGTGAGTATACAGGATGTTGAACATGTATCAGCTGTCCGAGGACGAGATTAGATCTTCTACAGATCATGCCGGTGTCATAGAAAATGGTGCTGGAGAAGAGATGATAACCATCAGTAGACTACCATGTGCTGAACTTATGAAGGTCTGTTACGTTAACGGCTTGATTTTCTGTTAATACTAGTGATTTGTTCTTAGTCCGATGCTAAATTCTTAGCACCCAAGATGGGTTGTATTTTGTGCGTCTATCTCTAGCTTATAACGACGTAAGTGCTCAAGGAGAGCTACCCGCATGAAAACAGATCCATCTAACTTCTGCAATCTGAGTGTATCACACTTTGGTGTGTTTTATTTGCCGTCTTGTGAGTTCCTCGTGTGTTTAGAGAGTGCAGTAAATGCTGGTCAATAGTATTGACCTTCTCTGACACTATTTTCTTGGACATGCAGGATCTGATGAGCGGTAAAGTAATTTTTCGAAATATCATGAGCATCCTGCAGTTGGGAGTGAATACTGTTTCTGAAGAACGAACCAGTCAGCTTTACGGTCCACTCTTGGACGATTCCATCCGACTTTGTTTACAACTGTTGCTGACTGCCTTCACTAAAGATACAGCGTTTGCCGAGTATTGGCGTCCTGTTTACTCGGTATGTCAATCTATGCATTGAGAATATGGACTCACTATACTGCAAATAAAGTGGTTTTTATATTTGAGTTCCTTCATTCATCATTCGGGATAGGTGATCACATTTTGCGTTTTACAGCCAATTGACGTCGTACTCTTACACGACATACGACAAATCATAACTTTATTGGAGTACGTGCGCTATGATTTATCACCGAAGATCCAACAATCTTCCATACAGATAATGAGTATATTGAGGTATGTCTCCTATTGAACACTGGTATTCTCCAAATGGTCGAAAGAGCGAGTGAAGTTGATAATTATTCAGCAGAAAGAATAGCTATGTATAACTCTACCCCGAAGGTTTCGGACTGATTGAATGACGTAATACCAACTAAGACGAGATTTTGATATATAAGACACATCTTGTCGGAGCCTAGTGTATGTTGGGTCCTATGAGTGTATAGAGCATACATGTAACAAGAGATCTCAAGTCTCAAGAGTTCTGTCTTTCCACTTCGTACTTTATTCTGAACTGATTCTGTTTTCTTCTCAGTGCTCGCATGCCACACCTCGTGTCAGTGATACTTGAGACAGGTGCTGGAACAAGCCTAATTGAAGATTATGCAGCCTGCCTGGAAGCTCGCAGCTTAGACATGCAAGCACCAGATAGCCCGGATGATGACACAGGCTCGTTGATACTCAGAGTACGTCCCACCAGCTCCTTAGTAGCAAGACAAAGAAAACACCAAATTGGATTATTTGCACCAAAATCATTAGTTTGCCCGTCATGTTCTGGAGTATGTTAATAACTCATGATAAGAAATCTACTTTAGGTTATGGGTTTAAGGTCCAGAGGACCCAATGTTAGGGAACACACTGAAAATGACATTTGTGCCGTGTACCATTGATCGGAAGAGTTTATTGAGCTGGACTGCCAGCCAACGCACACTCCATGAGTATAAGCTTAACAGAGTCCACCTTCATGTAACTTGCAGCTTCTTATTGAGAACCTTGAGAGACCAGCTCCGAACATCACTCATCTGCTCTTGAGATTTGATGTCGACCGACCTGTCGAGCGAACTATACTTCAGCCCAAGCGACACTACAGGTAATGATAATGACTATCTAAAAGCCCGAGTCTTGACATTAACGAACATCTTGTTTGAACATTGTTTGAATTTTTGAGCCAGTTTCGTCTTCTTTTATGGAGATTTCCTTATCGCCAACAGAAGTGTAAATGACGAAATGGTTGTTGATCTGTGTTGGTAAATGCATGTCTGCTGGCATTGTATATTAGCAGGGTGGCTTGATTCCATAACATGTGCTTTGTCATTTCACGAGTTAAAATTTGTTACAGTTTCCAGTCTTATTCCTTTTCCCATGTGCTTAATTGCCCAGCTGCTTACGCATAATCTTGGATATTTTGGACTCTTTATCAAAACCGGAGATCAATGGAGGCCTTCATGAACTGGGATTCCAGGTGAGTTTTCTTTTAATGCATTCCAAGTGAAAGTCATGAATCTTGCAATTGGTACTTAACCTTATTTTGCAACTTTCTAGCAGATGCAAAATCCTTGTCCTGGATCTTTGGATCGTCAGGGATGATTCTCCTATGTCGTTGATCCCACTGTACTCTAAAAAATGAAATTCTAGAAGGCTACAAGTGTCTGTAACGAGTTTATACTTGTCAGTAACTCAAACCTTGACGTATCAGTTGATGTACGAATTATGCGTGGATTTGGTCACATCTCCTGCTGTGGTGGACCTTTTACGGAGTGAGAAATACGATTTTTTCACCAAGGTGCTGTCCTTACGTTTTTCACACTGCTGTTCTTTCTCTTTTACTTCCATCCATCCCATGGATTGTGGTTGCCTGCTTTCCGTTTCCGCAACTCATTTGCAGGCTTGTGTGCTGGATACTCGTTAGAAAGTTGTCCATTGAATTCGTTTATTACTGATATCGCACAAGCGCGAAGAAGTGCTCTGAATAAGTTTTTAATAGTTACTAGAGCGTTACCACGTGTAATGATGTTGTCTGATCAAGTCAGATGATTTCACCCACATTTCTAATGGTAAATGTTTTTTTTACAATGCAGCACTTGGATAGTTTTGCTTGTGAACCCCTTCCAAGTCGGACGGACAATCACTCGTTGCGTGTTAGCAGTCTGCAGCAGGTAATGATATATAAACTACTTCGTCTGTTCTGCTCAAGCTACTCATGAGAGAACTTCTTCAGTTCAGTAGTCTATGTTTGCATTTTTTTCAATGACGCGGTTAAATATGAAGTTTGAATTAGGAAGGAAGCTCAGACTTCGTTGTACACATAGGAACACAGTGGATTCTTATGTGTACAACATATGTCAAACTTTGCCACCAAAGTTCCTCGTGTCATTATTGGTTTGACATATGGCAGTTTATCTTGTCAACCAAAGTTCCTCATTTCTGTCGTCACTATCTTCTTTGGTCCTGTTTTACAGAGGGCATGGCTACTTAAGCTCCTAGCTTTGGAGTTGCATGTGAGCGATATCGATATTGTATCACATCGTGACAGCTGCAGAAGACTTCTCGCCCATCTTTTTCTTCAGAAGCCTTTCGCAGCAGAGGATGAGATAATGACAAGTTTGTTGGCAATTAGACATGTTCCTGCAGATGGTCTTCATAAGATTAAGGTATATAAGTTTTAATGGAGAAGACGTCTTTTGTGTTTAGTCCTGAGTTAGTGAAAGAACGAGGCATTATAGCTGATGAACTATAAGGTTTGTTCTAAAACTTTCAACTCATTACAATAGTGATAACCGCATGATTGGCTGCTCCAGGAGATTTGCCACTATCATTGGCTAGCTTTGCAATCACCCTACATATCCGACTGTGAAGCCTAATGATGGCGTGTATTTGAAAATGGATTGGGTATGTTATCTTGTGCTAACAAAGCCAACGTTGGCTGATCTCTTTACAGGTTCTTGAGCTTCTGGATATCCTTCAGTTTCCAGTTGTAGAAACGAGGACTGAGTTTCCGCAGGAGTTGCAAAGCTTGAAAGCGGAATTAAAGGTTTAGCGGAATTTTCTACATCTACCCATTTGATTCTTTCCTTGAATGCCTTGTTGCCTACGTGGTATGGAGTACAAGATTATATTATAGCCCCTTCAAGGAGGTAACGAGGAGTACCTTTTCGTTGTGTCCATTCGTTGCTACCTGTCCCATTACTCTTGTTAGGAAATGTACGAGCGTGCATGACCGGTACGACGGTCCTCCTTGTGCATAACTAGTTTGATGTCATGTCGTCAGGTGGATGAAATTTTGGACACTTTTGCGACTGTCGATGACGGCGGCGTATACCACATATCAGAGCGTGGAGATCGTCTGATTGACCTAGCTGCATTTCGGGATGCACTTTGGCAGGTGTGTGATACGTCTTTGGTAGTGTGTTCTCGACTGTACTCTCTCAACACATCCTTCAGTGAAGTGGTCCACATATAACTGCCACGTTTCCTAGTTGCTTCAGGATACTGTATAATAAATAGATAATGGTAAACTAAGGAGATTCTTTGTTACAACTTTACCCAGATGTACTGATGGTGTTTGTTCTGCCAATCTCAGGAATATCGGCAACTTGAGGTGCAGTATACCGTACTAGGAAACGTTCCACGCCAGCTGGAACTCAGGGATGCTATACAAAAGCTACTAAAATGGTCCTGGAGACGCAATAAGAACCTGGAAGAACAGGCGGCTCAGCTCCATATGCTTGTCGGATGGACCCAGCTAGTGGAGGTACTTGAACTACCCAGTTTGTTGGACAGTAGTGCTTTTGACAGTATTTTCGTGACTGTCAGGTTTCGTTGCTGAATCTAACCTGACAATTTGTCAACGCAGGTAGCTATTTCCAGGAGGTTTGAGTTCTTGAGCAGTCGATCTCAAATTCTATTTGAGTAAGTTCGTTGTTTGCACATGAAAGATCATAATCTGCTATGCTGACTGCAAGCTGAAGATGAAACAGTTTCCGTGCTGGCAGCTTTTGTTCAAGTCTTGATTCATAAGGAAATGCTTATCGCTGTCACGGTCCTCATTTTATCTGCTGGTGGAGTCAATGCTAATCTACTTTCTCACTTTTTTCTTCTCAGGATATTGGACGCTTGTGTGACTGCTACTCTATCAACAGATTGCTCTCTTAAAATGGCTTTCTCTTTGTCCCAGGTTTTTTTCTGTATCCTTTCTTGTCTTCAATTTATCTGCGTAGCAGTATCTGTTCTCCGTTGGTTGTCTTGGTTTGAATGAGTGAACATCTCTCAACATCATGAAGGTTTTGCAAGTTGTCCTGAAAGGTAGACCGCTCTTGGCTTCTTATGAGCTGTCCATGGACTCTTTTATCTGTAAAAAGACTTCCTCAATAAATTTGAAATATGCATGCCTGTTTTTTGGGATATAGGTCTCTTATATAGAGACCCTTAGGTCGAGATGAGATTGAAAACTTATGTTGAAGGAAATAAAATCATAATTGGCATGACATACCTCTTGGCTAAATTGCACGCACAAGTTGCTGAGAGGAACAATGATTGTACTCCTCTCATATTCAGGTGGTGATGACCACAATGGCGAAACTACAAGAGCAGAGTATGGTGTCACCAGGTGAAGGAGAGAGTACGGATGATGTGACATATTTGGATTTATTGTCGACAGTGCGGTTGTCAAATAGTGCTTGCCACACTATCTTGTCCAAGCTTGTCGCATCAATACTTCGTCCTGAATCCTCTGAGTACTTACGTCGCCGGTACTGCTCTTGAACCTAAATGTTTTAGCTTCACTGGTTTCGTAAGAACCAGAAAATCATTGTTTCTCTTCATTATGAGGTGTTTTACCAGCCCTTTGCAATCTTGTTCTATGAAAACGAAATTTTGGACTGGCTGAACGACTTGCCTTTCGCAACATGTTGATTTCTACTTCCCAACCTTTGCAGACAATATGCGACCCTACTCAGCTATTTGCACTACTGCCAAGGAATGGTGAATCGTGACCTGCCTTTGTCAGTGATGCGAACCCTCTTGTTGGAAGACAGAGATGGTGAAGAGGATGTCGAGATTGAGAAGGTAAATTTGTGATCAAGTTTGCCGCAGACACATGCTTGATGTTGATTATGGTGCTTGACGTGGCTATCTACATATATTTATGTGGACCGAATTTCATTGAGTTTTTTGAATTCTATGCACAGCTTGACAGAGACCAGTCAGAACTTGCCCACATCAACTTCACAATTCTCAAGAGGGAAGCCACAGCGCTAATGGATCTGGTATGTTCCATCAGGGATTGTATGTATTTTCGAAGTTTCGAGTTGCCTTATGGGAGCATACTGTCCTTTATGTTCAAGTGGCTGAGTTGTTGCCCTGTTCCAAAAAATATGCACTTCTTATATTCTTGTGTCATAGGTCGTGATGGATGCCACACATGGGAGTGAAGTTGGAAAAGCAATGGCCTACTATGTTCTTGATGCTCTGCTCGGTTTGGACCATCAACAAGTATTTTTGGGTCAGCTACAAAGTAGAGGACTACTTCAGTCGTGTTTGACTGATATCAGCACCAACTCTTATCAGGTTTGGAATTTTAGAAAAATCAGATCACTTATTTGTTCTCAGTTGCAACAGTGTCTCAACAACGAATTGTCACTATTTCGGAGGGAAAGTTTCATCTCAAACCTCATCACTGTTTTCTTCTGGAACTTTGTCCTTCGTGTTTAATCATCCTGGTCGAACATTTCTGCTGAAACAGTGTTCAATTGATGCACGAAACATCTCAGTCGTACATGCTCAGAACTCCCCCTCCAAGTTTACATGGGATGGACAATGAAAGAACCGTTTAAACCAGCCGTATATACTGTATGTTGATAGATCTTTTAAAATAATGAATGTGATGTTTTGTTTCCTTCTTCTGTCGACGTCTCTGAACGTTTTGTGGGATCTTTAGTCAAGGTCGTGACCACGTAATGCTGATCTAAGCACTCACTTTTGCAGGCTGTTCTACTTCCATCATTAGAATCCGTAAGACGGCTTTACACTCTAGAATCTGAAATGGCCTTACTGCTGAGAGTTGGTTATCACAGCAAAAAAAGAGGGGCTCAAGCTCTTTTTGCCATGGGAGCGCTTCGCCACCTCTCATCTTGTAGAGCTTTGAATGTTGTTTTTACGGTGAGGATCTTTTTGAATTTCTCTATTCTGGTTGGAAACAATCCTTTCGATGTTTAAAGCTTTGTTGAAATGCGACGATTTCGGTTGAGTGTACGGATGCTGAATAGACATCTTATCGGAATCCGTACAATATATCCGTAATTATATGTTGGATATCGGGGATCATACAAGAAGTAAATAAAATGATCAGGTCTTTCATACTATGAATCTTGTCCAGGATTGAATGTTTTTCCAACTTTTTGAGATGCGTTTTGATCATGTGCCTTAAATACCGTGCAGGAGGATGCTATGTCCGAGAAGTTGATGAAAATAGAGATGGGATTGCCATCATTGCATGATCGTCAACATCAGATAATATCCCCAATTCTTCGTCTGGTTCTCTGCTTCACAGCTTTGGTGGATTCTTCCGCATCTGTTGAGAAGGTGTGCACTAGTTCATATCAGCAAAGTGTATACGGTCTGATCTGTATCGTTCTTTGTGCAACGACAAATCTCGAGTTCTACCATTTTCTTACTCAAGATTTTCGAGAAGTAAGAAATTTATGATACTTACATATTGCCAAGAAACGTAAAAAAAATGATATTTTGTATTCCATTCAGTAGAAGATCATCGTTGTCTTACTTTTCTGTCTGCCTGGGTGTGAAACAGGGTCAGGATGAGGTTGTGCAAGAAATTCTCAAATTTGTTAAAGAGCATCATAGTCTCATCTTTCATATATTGGGAAACGAACCACGAGCGGCCCAACTCTCTGATTTGGAAGAAATACAGCTCGTCACTGCTATCTTGAGCAAGGTGAGAACATTGGACTCATTTGCTTTTCCGAAAGTTGCAGTAATAAGTCCTTATGTTGTGTTATTCTTAATCTCTTCGTTACCTCTCTTGTTCTATCTGAAAATCCAAAGTTCAGTTTTTTAGTGTATCTTTATCTCCATATCAGATATCTGCCTTAAGGTTGTGTCAAAATTGTCATTCTCCTTCTTACTACGTTCTGAGACGAACACTTCCTGGCTGTGTCGACATTGAATGTAGGGCTGATTAGTTTTCATTTGTTTCTGATCTTGTAATAGGTCTGGCCCTGCGAGGACGCCCTGGATCCCGCTTACACACCAGCATTGTTCAGCATTTCACAAGAGTATTTCTGTCAAGATTCAGACTCACGAAACAGATTTGTGCAGCATATTCTTGAATCTCAAAGAAATCCCGAGCTATCTCCGGCAGAGCGAGAGGTAGGGATCGATGGCAGAGCTTTGCCTTTTTTATTAGTACATGTAATAGACTGTTCGGTGCTCTAAATCATTCGCGTTTCATCGTTTTTTTCTTGATCAGCTTTGCATGGTTTTATTCATGTGAGAGTTATGAGTACTTTGCTTTGTTTTGTTTTGCTGTGAGAGTTTCCTGCGCTATTCGACTGGAATTTTTGGTCCAAGTGCTTCACACTGATGACAGGTGTCATCGCGGCAGATAATGCGCCATTGGTCCTGGTGCATTAGTTAAGAATTGTAGAGAAAAGGCGACAATGCGACAAAAAGCATTGTAGTCTTTGTTTTTATCCAATTCACAAAGCCATACTGAATAAACGGAAAGGACTGTTATGGGTTTTTCACTCTACAAATATACTGATTGTGAGCAGTCTTTTCTGCGTTTGTTCAAGACGTTACTAAATATTCAGGTAATTACAGTTTGTTAATGTTACAATCTACGTTTTTGCAGAGTGTTCGAAAAATGGAGCTATTGGTAGCAAGAGTGAGGTGCAATTTGATATCATTCGTCTATACTCTGGTAACCAGGAGGGGACTTCAGCTTTCCTTCTCACATCCGAAGGTAATGATAATTGAAATATTCAGTCAAATATATTTTCTTAATACTACTGCAGATAAACGCTAGTTTGGCGCCTCTTGTATGCCTAGCAGAAAGTCAATCATTAACTCTATTGCCACACCCTTTTATATGAGTTTACAGATGCTTTAGTCACCAAAAAGCTTAAAGTTCACGCTCTGTGGCTTTCTTAGCCAGGCTCAACTTGGTGTTGAACAATAAATCTGATCTGGAACTTTTTTCAACATATGGATTTGAATTCATATTTTCAGATAATATTTGAACGTTGTGTAGTATCAATCAGTGACTTCCGCTTCCATATATGTGGGTTAGAACCAGGACATTGATTCTGCCTTAGGAGACAGTCTAGAATTAGTGCCTGAAGCAAGTGTTTTTTCTTTTCAGGCTTCAGGAGGACAGTATGTCGTCGAGAGGCAGAGACATCCAACTCTTAAGCTCATTGCCAGTCTTCTCCATCAAACTACTCTGGATCTGGAAACTGCTTTAAACGAGAAAGCAATACTTCTGTCGAAGGTAATGTACATACATACAAGACGATTTTAAAATCATCTTATGAATGTTTTCTGGTCTAAACTGAAATGGTCGCTATCTCTCAAACAGGCATTGTACAGGCATATTGCGTCGTCTTTCTTTGTGAAGAACCTATGCTGGTCTTTTGACTTTTTGTCCGCTGCTAGTAAATCTCAATAACGACTTCATCTTCAGGTTATAAGTTTCTGGGCTTGCTCTGCCTAACCGTACTGGAAACCGAACGCTCACAACCAAATCATATATTGAGAACGAGATTGGAATAAAAATTTGATAGTCGTTACGAGAAATGAACTGTTAACTGAGATGACTACTGTACCGCTTTGGACTGAACTTGTTTCGTCTTGTGCCCAGCTCCAAGACGTGAATGAACTATCAAGACATGAAGTCGACGAAGTTATAAAGGCTTATGGAGAGCACGACCCAACGGATGGTGCCGAGAGTATACGTAAAAGGTAAAATGACCCATTCTTCCCCCTTCAAAATGTTAGGTGAAAGAAAGATCGTTAGACGATATCGTTAATAAAGTCCCATCGTCAATCTGGCTTGCTAATCCCTTTCTTTACAATCCGCAGGAGATACCTAGCTATGGTGGAGATGTGCAGTGCTGCGGGAAGTAGAGAATGTCAGATGGCATCTCATGTTTTCATTATTGAGCAATCTCTTGAAATTTTGTACATTCATTTTGATAACAGGTAAGAATTTGTTGTCATGGTTTTACATGGAATGGAGTCCTAGGAATGCTTGATATCCAGTGTATATTATTCTCATCTAGCAGGATTTGCCTGGTCTGAAAGGAACCGAGCCAAGATGAGTTGGCATGTTATCAAAGCCGCTCAGAGGAAACGACCATAATTTACACGATTTCGACGCGGCATTTGCCATTCTATGATTGTCTGGAGATACGTTCAGCTTTTGTATCGATGAATTGTACGACCATTCTTGTGGCCTTGGCTATGTCTTCTAATAACCGATTGAAACCAGGTCTTTGTGGCCACAAACCAGCCGAGGCAAATACGAGATGTCAGATGTGGACTCAATACCGGGGAGAAGAGAGGAGATTAAATCCCTCTGCGAAAAGGTTCTGCCTGTGTTTGAGCAGCTTGAGAAGGTCGACGAAGTAAGTGTTCTTTTCTATTTCGTCAACAGTTTGTCCTCATACTCACTTTGTGTACAAAACGAGAGGGAGTATACTTGACTTGTAATATTTGAGCCATCGTAATGTTAGGATTGTTCACACTAATCAGAGGTACTACTTCATCGGATCTCTATAAAGTGGTAATGGTATTGAGTAGAATGATGCTGCAAAGAATATTGGACCTTTCAAAAACTTGTCCTTGACATTCCTCTCGTGCTCTTTGTTATTGCAGAAGAGGGTGGGGCGCAGTATGAAGCACATCGAAAGACTGGTCCGCACACTGAAGTCGCAGATTCTAGTGGGATTCCCCTCAGAGTTTTTGTAATCTCGGGGAGGTGGAAGACGATTCTTTTATTTATCATGGAGGAGCTCTAATGGATAAAGTTTTTTTCAGCTTTGCTCTACTTCGTTGTAGCAAGGCTTGTGGGTAGAGATATGTGCTAAGCTTCAACTGGTTTGGTGGCAGAGCCACGTAGGCAGATCGAGATCAAATTCGACGCCCTCTGCTTGCGAGTGGGCAGAAATTCGCTAGATTGCTCTGTTCAAATTTTAACGCTCATTGTACAGATAGTTGTTATGCCAAATTGATCATGATCGTTTGCAGTAAATTGAAGTATCTGTGTCGAATAAATCTTATTCTTTAGCAATTTTTTTCGACCGAATTAATCAATTTTTAAGCGTTTAGTATACGTGAAGCATTTTCTTCCCTTTGGTTAGGCAATCGAGTATAATGTCGGGGATTGATAATTTTTTTCCAATGATTCTTCCGGATTCAGGTCTCTGAGAAATGCCTTGAGGGTGTTGTAAAGCATTCCCACCGTGAGCTTGCGTACGCATCTCTTCCATGGAGGAGAATGGACGACGGGGTAATGTGCATAGAATTGCTGTGAAGTCCAAACGTTCTTGTTGTGGACTATCCTGGAGTTCCGAGTTTCGATCGCAACAGTTGGGAGGTGTCGAAACGAATGTAACATGTTTATCCGGAAGAATCTGCTATATTTGCAAGAACAGATTGTCTTGGAGATCGTGCGTTAGAGTCTCTACCTCTTGTGTGTCGTATGAGGTCATCATGAGATGTTGGTACTTTTAGGGATTGATCAAAGTTGATTATATTAAGAATGCCTGGTGTATCTCCACCGCAATTCCTGAACAGTGTTAGTATTTCCATATATTTCCTGGGTGACGTTCCCAGTGTGTTTTAAAGCTGGTAATGAAGTAACAATACCAGTTCATCACTTACTAAACCCATCCGTGATGTTACTCATACGAAAATACTGCAAACAAGTAATACCATCATAAGCTTCTCTTACTAAACCCATCCGTGATGTTACTTATATGAAAATACTGCAAACAAGTAATATCATCATAAGCTTCTCTTACTAAACCCATCCGTGATGTGACTTATACGAAAATACTGCAAACAAGTGATACCATCATAAGCTTCTCTTACTAAACCCATCCTTGATGTTACTTACATGAAAATACCGCAAATAAGCAATAACACCATAAGTAATGTGTAGAACTTTGTTAATAAGTACTATCATCATAGTTCAGTTCAGTCACCTCATACTCTAGTGCTGTATCTTCATTGTCTGCGTGGCCGAACAGTATTATTTGTGCCCGCTGGTTAAGTCAGATGTTTACCTAGTACTGTACTGTAACTAATTCTAGCTATATTGCACATAATACTGCATACAACGTGTAATTTCCAACTCTGTTGCAACAATGAATATTAGATGTATCAGCAGTAGTTGATAACTGTCGGTGTAGCTACAAGATATCAAGGTTTGTATTATGTGATAAAATCTCTGAGAACTAAATCGGACAAAAATGTTCATGAAGAAACTATAAAAACGCAATCCAGCATTTGATTCTTTTGAAGTTAAATTTCATATATAAAGAAATGAACATTTAGGTAGAAGATCTACGATTTAATCTATCATGTGTGTTTGCGCACATTCATTATATATCTTTCACAAATCTCATATGTATATCATGAGAATATGAAACTTAATGAATATTCTTATTTGAATTTTCTTCGAGTTTTTTCATTAACTTTGCGACATGTTTATATGAATTGTTTATGATGTATCGTTCTTCTAAGTATAAAATTGATCAGACATTGTTTGACAAGATAATGAGAATTAAAGCGTTTTTAGCTTTTATGTTTTATCAGTTTGGTATTTTAAAAAACCAAATTGATAAATCATTTTAGAAAAATGTACATCTATCATTGGAATAAATGTTTAGTAAATTTTATATTTTTTGCTTCAAGAAGTTATTGTAAGTGGATTAGATTGACAGAAATTTTTTTTATATATAATGAAGATAAAATATCAAAGATTAAATAAATTATAAATGAAATTTAACTTCATCAATTATATTGGAGAAAACTTCAAACTTAGTTTGATTCTTAAAGATATACCAATAATCAAAATTGTACATTAAACTTGCAAATTCTTATATGGAGTTTGTTGTTGAGTTTATCTCATTTGACTGCTATGTTCACAACACTATCACGTAATGCTAAAGAATTGAGTGATATCAATTATTGATTGATTTGAATGAAACATTTGCATGTGATCTTTTTTTGTAAAAGAACATGGTATATTATTCATATCATCTAACAGAATTCATATATATATATATATATATATATTGTAAAATGTGAAACTAGTGATTTCATATCTAGTTTAATGCTCATGGATGTTTATTTGTTTTGAGAAACTCATTTAAAAAAGATTACAAAGACTTAGACTTTGCATAAGATGTTGAAACCTAAAATTTCCACCTTTGATTATAAAAATTGGAAATATGTTTAAGATCAAATTGTTAGTATTGTTATAATACATTTACAATATCAATCTTGGAGCAAATGATATTTGTACTTTGTTGTTTAAAATTCTTGAGGGGCAAAATGTTGCATGGCACTTTGAAATTGATGAAAATTTTTACATTACATTGATAACTTTACTATAGATCTATTAAATCGTGGAGAGTAAATATATGATGTAAAAAAGATCATTTATCTCAGAAACTCATTTGTTACTTTTTATTGATTGTTGTTATGTGTGTTACTTAATTCCGATATACAAACAATCACTTAAACTGAAGTTGAAAGTATTTTGTTGATTAATGGTTTATATTTGACATATATTAATGATTTAAATTTTAATAATGTGCCCATTTTATATTTGAATGTAAATTGAAGGTGACCGAAATGACAAGGATATCTGAAGTTTTAAATCTAGAGATTGATACAAGGTTAAGATTAAATTATAAAGATGAAAATTATATTGTATTGAATGTGGTAGAATTTATAAACGCAAACTAGAATAATAATCACGCTAAAAATAACTGTAATAGAGAAACCAAAATTAGTGATCATACTTTAGCCGATGTGTATCAAGAATTAGATTTACACAAGCTCTTTTATATTATTATATTGCCACATGATACAAGAAAAATCTAATTGCATAGAAGAGTGAATATATATATATATATATATATGGGCCAGACTAGGTCCACACCCGTTTTTGCTACGGCCACACCCGCTACATACAAAAAACTGATTGCGCATCAAAGCACGACTCCCCTCAAACCCAACTGCTAAGCCGAGCTACTCCACGAGGTAGAGGAGAGCTTAGTCGAGAGTCTTCGAGGGGTGTGAGGCCGCTGCGGCCGTCGGTGTCTCCCGCGTTGATGGGGCTTGGGCAGTGGCAGTGCGCTTGGGTTGTGGCAGAAGTGCGCTTGGGTAGTAGCAAAAGCGGGCATGGGCATGGTAATTAGCGGGCGGGTGTGGCCGTAGCAAAAACGGTTGTGACCCTCTATATATATATATAGTGGTATAATGATCATGTTTCTGCGTACAAGTAATCAAGAATCATAGTATACTTAATGTCATTTTATGTAGATGTGTTGTTAAGATCATAATGAGAAAATCAATGAATTAGATTAATAAGAGATGAACTTATTTTCAAAGACAAATTTTCGATAATACGTCTATAATTTAGACCAAATTCAACTTAAATGAGCAAAAAGTAAAATTACCTTGATTGTACTGATTGAGCTTTGCAAATAAAGTTATTGACAATAAATTGTAAATATTGTAAAATATTTCTATTCCTTTATACTTGTACATGACATATGATGTATCAAAGTATAATTTATACCGTTGCAAAATACAACGGGAATACATATATTATTATATATAGCCATGAATGTTCATTCCACAATGATATGAATTTTGCACTTTCATGAGGAATTTAATATTGCAGGTACTGAGCTAAGGCGTAAATGATCTTAATATTTATCTCAAATGTGGCTTCGAGAAAATCAAACGTAAAAATCTGCGATTACTTAAGCATATAATACAAGCATTCGATATGCTTACAAGCGTTGTATATGTGTTATTGTCAGCATAAAATAATTCCATCAAAAAGTCTATATCCACCGAAAAGAATTGAAAGAAGGTCAAGGGAAGGAAAGTTTCCGAAGAGAAAGGAGCTTTTGAGAGTTGCGCTACGAAGACGGATGGTGCTTGTGGACAGCACGGGTACACACACACGGCGATCCCTTGGCAACGTGTGTCCAGGTTCTTTCCAACACGGAGATGCCCAGCCCCAAGTGGACCCTCCCCGTTTGCGTCGACGCATTGTTCTGAAGGTGAGCTCCTGCCCCGCCCCGATGCATCTCTCTGCATCCCATTCCTCCGATCGATCGTCTTGTCGTTGTGCCGTCTGCTTCACTTGCCGGTTGAATTGTTTTTCGAGGCTGCTCGTCGTGTGATGCGGTGGAAATTGAGGTCGAATTCTCTTCTTCCGTTAGGGTTGGGGTCTTATCGATCGATCTCTGTTCTCTGTCCTGCCGCTCTCGCTCGGGGATTTAATCGAGGAGATCTTGTGGATTTTTTATCGTGATGTGAGATATTTTTCGTGAGCTTTTGCTTTGATCGAGCTGTGGGCTTGTGGCGGATGCGTGTGGTTTGCCTGTTTGGCGCGTCGCGATCCTGGAAGTGTGAATTTGGTGATTTGTGAGCTCGGAGAATCCTAGTTCTGCCTTTGCTTGGTAGAACTAGAGTGATCCGTGGACCGGTAGATTGGTTTTGGATGGAATTGGATTCCGCACGACTGAGAGTTTTTTTTCTTCTTGTAGGGTTGAAAGAGCTGCAGGCGAGCGGTGATTTCGCCTGTTGGTAGAGCGGTGAGAGAGACGATTTGAGGGAGATGGGGAGCATTCAGAGGTCGGCCAGGAGTGCGACCCGCGCAGCTCTGGCATTGCACAAGTCGCACAGCAGCAATGTTTCAGTAGCTGCGGTTCAGAGAGCTTTTAGTGCTCAGGCCAGCGCTCCACCTCCAACTCCCCCACCCGCAGCAACTCCTCCACCTCCGCCACCAGCTCCCGAGAAAACCCATTTCGGGGGACTTTCGGATGAGGATCGCATCTTCACCAATGTTTATGGGCGTCATGATCCATTTCTGAAGGGTGCCATGAAGCGTGGGGACTGGCATCAAACGAAGGAGCTCGTGCAGAAGGGCACCGATTGGATCGTCGGTGAGATGAAGAAGAGCGGTCTCAGAGGAAGAGGAGGTGCAGGATTTCCGTCGGGTTTGAAGTGGTCTTTTATGCCCAAAGTTTCTGATGGTCGTCCTTCGTACTTAGTGGTGAACGCCGATGAGAGTGAGCCTGGAACGTGCAAAGATCGTGAGATCATGAGACACGATCCACACAAGCTGATTGAGGGATGTTTGATCGCGGGAGTAGGCATGCGCGCTAGGGCTGGATACATTTATATCCGAGGAGAGTACGTCAACGAGAGGAACAATCTGCAGAAGGCTCTTTCAGAGGCTTACGCAGCTGGATTTTTGGGAAAGAATGCTTGTGGTTCGGGATACGATTTTGATTTGTACATTCACTACGGTGCCGGAGCTTACATCTGTGGAGAGGAGACTGCTCTTCTCGAGAGTTTAGAGGGGAAGCAGGGTAAGCCGAGGCTGAAACCTCCCTTCCCAGCGAACGCGGGTCTCTACGGATGTCCCACTACCGTCACCAATGTTGAGACAGTTGCTGTCGCACCAACAATTTTGCGTAGAGGTCCCGAATGGTTTGCTAGTTTTGGACGAAAGAACAATGCAGGAACGAAGCTGTTTTGCGTCTCAGGACACGTGAACAAGCCTTGTACTGTGGAAGAGGAAATGAGCATATCGTTGAGGGAGCTAATTGAAAGGCACTGTGGTGGAGTGAGAGGTGGTTGGGACAATTTGCTAGCTGTTATCCCCGGAGGATCGTCTGTACCGCTCCTCCCGAAGAATATCTGTGACGATGTCCTCATGGATTTTGATGCGCTGAAAGCAGTGCAATCTGGTCTAGGAACTGCTGCCGTTATTGTTATGGATAAGTCTACAGACGTTGTGGATGCGATTGCCCGACTTTCCTACTTCTACAAGCACGAGAGCTGCGGCCAGTGCACACCCTGCAGGGAAGGGTCTCCGTGGTTGTGGCACATGATGGAAAGGATGAAAGTTGGAAACGCAAAGCTTGAGGAAATTGACAAGCTGCAGGAAGTGACAAAGCAGATTGAGGGCCATACCATCTGTGCGTTGGGTGATGCTGCTGCATGGCCTGTTCAAGGACTTATTAGGCATTTCAGGCCGGAGCTTGAAAGGAGAATACGTGAGTATGCCAAAAAGGACCAGGAATTGTTTGAAGCCGCCGCTTGATTGAGCAACTTGAGAAAAGCTCTCGCCATCAACTAGAAGAGGAGTGGAGAAGTGCAAATAAGTCATCACCATTTATGACAGGAGGCTATATTCAGTCGGAACATTTATTCCTCCAGCCGGAGCTTTGGGCAAGTACATAGATTTGCTGTTTGTTGCCGGAAACCTGCTGAGCTGCGATAAAAGCTCACCTTTCAAGTGACGCTGCATAGCTGGACTGGATTGGTGCAAACCAATCAATAATTCGAGAACATATCTTCTTTCTAAATTGAGATTTTGAAGATCCTGATACCTACAGTGGGCAGAATTATGTATGTCGCAAGAGTCTGAGCCTCCTTTGCTTCGTTTGCCAGAATTAAAGTCCTCTGAGGTGACTTCGATGCATCGAGTTATACTTTCAAATCCTCTTGAAGACTTAGACTTTAGGCTTATGCCAAATCTCTTTGATTCAACTGCTGATTGACTTTTGATTTCACTTCATCGACTCCTTTTAACTACGCGGACACTAGTCAATTTGGCCTTGAGTAGTCTTGTCTTGTTTTAAGAATTGTATGTCATGGCTTCTATTCTGTCAAATGTACAGATTTACTTGAACTCAAAAGGCACTGGGAATGCTCCAGCTAGGCTCTGCATTCTCTACAATTTCAGGTGTTGTTATTTCGTGTCCAGTATCGCATTGTAAGGCAAGTTCATGAATGCACCAATTTATCTCTGGGTGACGTTGCTGCCTTGTTTTGATCTCAATGTATGTGCTGAAAGTGAACTCAGCCAACAGTCTGCTGCTTAAGGTGCATTGTTATTCCTCTCACTATCTGTTTCTTATAGTGGTGCACTTGAAGTCATTATGCTCTTTTGGATTCCTTGTGATGCTTACTGGAGCTAATTGGTTACCGAAGTTTTCGAACCACCTCAGTTTGTTTCCTCATATATCAGTACAGTCTTCGAAATTATCGTGAGCTTAACAGCAACAGACCGCGTTTCCGGTCCTGGCCTCGCAGGAATGTTGGAGCTTCTACCTGTTTGAAATGAACTAAGTCCAGGACCGTGCTATTTTGTCATTGCTTCTTGGCGTTATCATCAAATCTGTCCGTAGTCTATGCCTGTCTTTCCTTCATCCATCGGTTTACTCTCACATGTGCACGAATTGCGAAAACCTTCTGATTCCGTCTCTTTTGCACGAACTAGGCTTAGTTCATCGTGTATCTGGAAGAAGATGGATTCGTGGAACCAGAGAAGATCTGGCTGCGACTGTACAGCAGAGTTGTCATAACCGAGTCACCGAATTCGGTGTACATACTGCAGTTGCCATCTCTGAAGTGCTTGAATGGCTGTTACTACCCCAAGAATACGCTCTGGATTGACTGAGAATTAATCTCTTAGTCTCGTTCTCCCATGACATATAATTAGATAGTTTGAAAGAGAAAATGCTAAAAGATCTACATGATACTAGGCGTATAGAGAGACAAACTCTTTCAACAATGCAATAACCGTGACTAAGTTACATTACTGGAAGCTAGTGCTTTGACTCACGAGGAGCCATTTGTAGTGAGTTTCAAATCCTCCCAGGAAATGTGTGGGAACGTTCATCAAGACTGCAGATCATGCATCCAAGTAAAGTTGGGTAATGCATGGGTAATACTTGTCAAAGACACAGACGGGCGTCAAATTTTGAGAGTATCGTAAGAAGCTAGTCAGTTATCGTTAAGCGTGCGAAATTTGGAGCTTTGAAAAAGTGAGAATTGATGAGAGATTCTCATCAATTCTCACTATTGATGAGATTCTCACTCCTTTCACGTATGTAGATGTCGATGAAATCATGTGTATTTTGTAGTTTACTCTTGTTCTAATGTTCGGCCCGGGTTGATAGAGGCTATGAGATGTTAACTCCAATGCATACCCGATCTGAAAGTATTTAATCCAGTAGATACTGTACTTAATGTTAATCATGTGGATATTTGCTAGGAAATACGACATGCATATCATATTTTGAACCAAATCACGCCATATTATTCAAGGCTTTGTCCAGCGTCAGTGCATAGATTATGAAGAGATGTAGTATCAAGTTTGTGTATCTACACAATCTAGTTGTTAATAAGTACCAAGAAGTATGCTTAATGATTGTTGTCACTTAATACATGGGCAAAAATTGCTTGCTTTTTGAGACAATCATCAAAAGTTTTAAGGACAACCTAAATGACTAACGTTGGAGAAAGGCTCGTATCATCTTAGGCAACTAGATGAATTTGTTATCAATGTCTCAATCACTCCCTTCTAATATAAGGTTGAACAACGATTACGTATGTTCTTGCATCTTTATCAGGCATAATGAAAATATAAGTCGGCGTTGTTGTTGTGTACGTTGATTCCTTCAATCACATTACATCTGTATTTTTATTGTGTTGATTTTTGATGGAAAAATAATAATTTAGATGGAAGATCTTAATCTCCTTTGAACTAAGATTCCAAATTAAGTATGTTGTTGATGATATTTTCTCCACAAAAGTCATAAATTTTGTGACAAACAAACAATTTTTCATGGCTCACCTTTGGATTCACCTTAGTTGGTTGTTTTTTAGATGTGCAAAGCAATAAACACAAAGTTTGCGATGAGGAGTAAGATGATATATGAAGTGGGAATCCATACTTGGCTGCAATAGAGTAATCATATACCATGCAAACTGCATCATAATCAAGCAAATTTCTTCCAAACTGAAATCATCTTCAGCATTAAATTGCCAGTTGGCTCTAGCGCTGAGCTTGTTGAGAATTAATGAATCTAGTAAATAAGTCTTACATTTGATTAAAGAGACTGAAGACAAGAATTTGATGTACAAACCGAGAGAGTAGTGAGATCATTAGATATGTAGATGCATGCTACCTGTATGATTCTCATCTACGACGACCCCAAAATGGCTATGTCATTGTTACGCAAGGGCATCCATTTCGATCTTAAGAACGCAGATTTCTATATTAATGAAAAAGCATCCTTAGTTTGGTAGATGTGTGTATGAAGAAATAGATTAAGCATTAAGGCAGTAGGGATGACTAGGGCCAAACGATAGAGTTTGGTGAAAGCTTTGAACAACGCAAGTTCTAGAAAAACTGAGACTTTGTAAGTGTGAAATCTTCTGAGGTTGGCTATTCGTTAATCTCTCTTCCATGGCATAGTTGTCACCCAAACGTTATTCTCGATATTTTGGGAAAAAAAGCTATGGCTTCAAACGTAAAATTGAACATTGTCATGATATCGGTGAGCACTGACTCCACAAAACAAGAAGTGTTTTGGCGTTGTGTGATCTTGTTCCTGTATAGTGTGCATAGAGCCAGGCTCTCCAAGTACATGATGTACATATATAAGTATAGTAGACTTTAAGTTGATTGATTTGAAATACATGTAATCTATTAATTATCGCCATTTCTGTTTTCGGCAATCAAACCTTTCAACATTCACATGAGACTTGCGAGAAATCGCATAAGCTTGCTATGAAGAAACTAACAACGATGATAAACGTTTACCATATATTTTCAATATAAAAGCTGCCTAGTCTGATCTAGTCGACCTCGTTCGTCATGTCAGTCCCAAACAAAACAAAATTTGACTTAATACAATTCACAAGGTTTACTTGGATCAAATGCCCCACGCGAAGTTGACAAGGAGCTGGCATTTGTTGGCTAACGGAGACGTAACTTCGCCACTGACAAGGTTCGATTCTGTGATTGTTCAGTTTGACATTGAGTTGAAAAACTTTGTTATGTCTTGTATTATTGGTCGACTGAAAGCCTTCTGTACATGATAAACGCTCAACACTTGCGCACACCCAAAAGAGTTCGGAAAAAATTTCAGGGACCAACCTCTTGCTATCTGTTGCCAATCTCGACAACTTACGAAGAAATGTCGTAGATGTTTTCCTACACATCTGCATAATACAAACGACCATCACATGTTCTATCTTCCTAGTCTGAATTTAAGACGGGAACTCAATCTTTTGGTATCAATATTTTTCAGTGTGCTGTTTCGTTTCTCGAGCCAACTTCGTGTAGAATGTTCCCTTTGAAGTGGATTCAGTATACTAGGTTCTACAGCTTGAAACCCGAGTGTATGGCAACAACTCCACCCACCAAGTTCTCGTATTGCACGTCTTGAAACCCCGCATCTGCAATCATGGATGCAAAGCGCTCCTGCATACATCAAGCTGAAGCTGTCACTGCCTGAAAGAAACGCTATCTCGTCCCGAAACAGCGACTGAATTGCTTCACAAATTCCAAAAATTCTTTGTGTTAGTGATGACTCAGAATCCAACGTTCACCAAAACGTGAAACATACCTGAGTGGGGAATTTTCGAGCACTCTCAACAAGATACTGGTAAGAATTTCGGTCTCCAGCAACATACTGCCCTACAGCTGGTATAACTGCGAAGGAATACATGTCATATCTACAGCACACCAGACACCGATGAGTCACAGAGGTAGTACGGATGTTTAGTGAAGTTTAGTGAGAAACTGTTTCAAAACAACCAGACAAGATCCTCATCTACAATTTCATTCCGCCTAAACCTTAGGTTAGGTTAGGCGCAAGGGCTTCGAAAAACCGTCGTATCTTTGCAATGATCACCATTTCGACGGCATCCACCAGCCCTATACAACCTGTGTGATGCCTCTACAAGGTGCGAAGCTCCTTCAGATCTGTATTGTCTTGTTTTAGGTTTACCTCAGAGCACTACGCTTTCAGAATATGAAACTCCTGGAGGGAGGAACTCCTACATTAGGACGTTATGTTTGAAGGTCTAGGTGGCAATGTGAAAATGTAGATTTTGAAGTTTATTCCCAAAAAATGTCAACAAAAGGACGAGAATAGGACATGTCAGATACTGCAATCTCCTTCGTCGTCTGCGTTCTAACAAAAATTAAGAATCAAGTTCCAAAGTTCATGCACTCACATTTGCTTGAATCCGGGCATGCTCACGTGACTCAGTTCCAGACACAAAAACCTCCCGCCTTTTTTCAGGACCCTGTCTTGAGAGATCGAGTTATAATAATCCACATGTGTCGTACATGATATTAAAGTCATGCTTATCGAGTGCCAAAAATGACTTTTGAACCATTACTTTGAAATCTTATCTTAAGTAGCTTGCTTTTATCACAAATGTCTTCATAAAAATTAACGGGTGCAAGAAAAATTGAATAAGGAAGCAAACGGACATGAACAACACAAATTATAAACGGAATACCTTCAACGTCAGAAATGTATAAATTTCAGTCTCTGAAAGTAGGAAGTCCCACAAAACAATTACATTAATAAACTGACTGTCAGCGCTCAGCTAGGAGGCATTTCAATATTGAAGGAACGTACCTGTGAGCCTCCTTAAGCGCTCTATCAATATGAGTCACGTTTCTGATGCCGAACGCAATTGTGTAGCCATCCATGGATTCATCCTTAAAGTCCAGATGCTCAGCGTTGCCCTCCACCCATTGAAGAGATGGAAGTCCTGCTAGACCTGAGAGACGTCCGAATCGATACAAAAGTAAGAGCAGCATTGATGTAGTAGAAACAACTTATAAACTTAATCGAGGCGCACATTATCATGTTTAATCAAGTGTACGGGCACTTCAATATTGCGACATGAAGGACATGATGATGTCTCACCATCGAGATATCCGTGAAATAAAAGCTCAAAGGAATCACGTCAACACTGCCACAATGACATCCAAAGTTGTGAAGCTGGATAAAAAAAGGAAAAAGAACCCGGACATTGTATTAAGTATTTCAAACTCACTAAGGTCGAGCAGAACTACCTCGTTTCTTCGCTCGCTGTTTACCAACTTCAAGCATGGCTGGATTGATGTCACAAACATAAACCCTAGTCTCATCCTCTGCGTCTGCTTCAGCAGGTAATACTTGAAGACTACGTTGTTCAACTCGGTTGATTGCTTCCAAAACATCGAACGCAACATCCCCTGCAAGTTTTCAAAACCTCTGAGAAAATTACACCAGGTAACATAGCTATGTCATGAACAGCTGCATCATTCAAACCAGAATATAAACCTCAAGCTAAGCTCCATAATTATTTTAGGGGTAAAAGAAAGGCATTTGCTGACATGCTTTTGAAAATACCAGGAATCGTTGCTCGAGATGTAATGCATATAAACTGGAATCCTATTGAACTACGCTATGGTACAATATATGGTGCCAATATACCAATTTCTTTCAACTCATCTTACATCAAGCTCATTTCGCAGGGGGGAGAACTTTCAATATTCTTTTGATTTTCACCATTTTTCCACAAAAAATTGAAGGTAGAAAAGATGACAAAGCTTGGAGGAGGTTTGAGGATTTCTGAAGAGATTTGACAGCAGGTCAGTAGGAAACACTCACCAGTTCCACCAGCTACATCAAGATGCTGCATACCAGGAAAAGGACAGAGCTTCGAAACCAACCTGAAACACACAATCAACCATCTCCGGAAGGAACACTGGATCAAATTCGTAAGATCACTCTGCCCTAAGATAACGAGAAAACGAATGATCTTCAAACTCAAATTAAAACTTACGCAAACATGCAAAACGGCTACTTCTCGTGGAACGCAATTAGCTCCAAGATAATCACAAGTAGATCCGAGAGCGGAAGTAAAGTAACTCTACCTGTCCTTCCAAAGTCGATGCAAGCCTAGGCTCATCAAATCGTTCATAACGTCATACTTGGAGGCAACGCTCTCGAAAACTTCGCCGACAAGCTTCCCTTTCTGCTCTTCCGACACTTGGCGAAAACCTTCACACAAACCACAACAAAGTTGAAAAATTCCTGTCAAGAAAGTCCAAAATCATATCATTAATCTCGACAGAGCATTGTCGATTGGTCGAATTGGAACTTGTGAAATTCAAATAAGACGATCTCCGAAAATATCGAAAACAGCAACTCAGTAATTCGATCCTTACCAAATGACGTAGCATGCGATTCGGCGGAAGACGAAGTGTTTCGAGCTTGAAGCAAACGTGGTGAAAACATGCAAGACTTCCGAGAAAATTGTCGCAATGTGTGCCTGAGAGCCATCGTCCTCACCTCGTGCTGTCACTGTCAAATTCCTCCCAGATTCAATCGTCGATTGGCCTCGGAACTACAGCAGACGAAGGCCCACCATCTAGTTCTCGGAGACGGGTTTCCATTAGCCCGTCGCCCGGCTCCAGATTGTCGAGAAGGCTTCGGAAATGACTGGTAGTCTCCCCCGGGTCGGTACACCTCACCACGAACTCCAGACAGGTTCTCTGGTCAAGTTAAGAGAATCACGGTGTCCAAGAGCGAAAAATATGTATCATTTTCAACTGGACGCGGATTAATTCTAGTAGATGAAAGATTAGCACGGATTTGTTTATACACGAAGATTTGTTCGGTAAATTATTCTTGCAACTTAGTTATGGAATCATATCTAAATAAACATATTCAATAAAGAAGAACCAAAAATTTCACATTTCAATGATCTATCTAGACAAACGCCGCAGCATGAGTTTATTGTTTCTAATTTAACTTGACCAAGCTAGATTATAATCATTAAGGCTAAAAAATTATGATTGAATATAATTATTTTTTCTCTGTTGTAGATTTTAAACTATCCGGATTCATCGTGAATGTGTAGAGCGAATCCAAAATAATTTCCTAAAATTATGTGATTCATATTCATTGATTTGATGGTGGGGAAAGGTTAAAGCACTCTGTTCATAAGTATGCTGTAACCATATTTTGGTAGGGTATACGAATCACATCATACCGCACTACGGACAGCCAAAACTGATACATGAGACCTAATTATGGTAAGAGTGGAAGTTTGTACACTGCTCAACTTCAAGGTGACATTTCGTATATCTTACATGTCTTGTAGAGGAATATACTTCGTGATGTAATTGTGCTTTGGCGTGATACATTACCTTGTAATTAGCAGCACACGACAAGCACCAAAATCTTCAACGTTATGATAATCTAGAGTTAGCTTTTGGGCAATGAAAAAAGATCATCAAGTTTAAGATAACGAACTAACTAAGCGTGATGTAAATGAATGAAAAAAATATCCAAAAATAAAAACTAGTATGCACTTAAGAATCAAAAAATTCTCATTCAGTTACAAGAGAATGTATTTTCACTCTCTAACTCAAATAAGAAGTTGGAATTAAAGAGAAAAAAGTCAACATTGGAAAAATTGAGCAACTTCGTTATTCCAAACCCTGTTGTTGATTTAGTCGCTTGAGAGAAAAAACTCGAAAACAAGATTATGTTTTCATACCTACTTCAAAACAAGTTTTTGATTTAAATGTGCAAAGTTCACAACATATCAAGTTTTATCTCAAAATTTGACTAAAGTTGGAGGCTTTCATGAGAAAGAATTCGTTGAATTGTAATAAGGGTTTAGCTACATCAATTTGAAAGTAGTGTTGCTTTATTCTGAAGTTACTTTAGCTTCAATATATTGAAAGATAGAATTATTGTCCAATATGTTAGTCATATGAGTCGATTGAAATATTAGTAAGCTTAAACATGGTTAGTTGTCATAATTACTATATCTAAAAACATAATCGTAACTTTCCATGATCCAAGTATTATTTAAAATAAAACAAGCTTGTATCATCTTCTTTGTATAATATACATTTACTATTTTTGTTGTATTGTCTAACATTTTATATTCATAGCCAAATATAAAACGTCATTCCTATCAATTTTATATGTGCTTGGAAAAAATTGTTCTTCATAGAAAATTTGATTTTTCTTTACTTATTATTATTTTACATAATAAATTTAATTAAAGTTTAAAGTTTTTAATCCAAAATTTGAATAATCAAGATTGATATTGGTATTTAACAATTTATACAAATGATATGTAAGAAGTTCAACCATTTTTATGCTTCTTTCAATAACGTATATGGTTGGATTTATATAAGATTAGAAATTAAGAAAAAATTTCACTTGTTGATAAAATACAAAATGTGAAGATAAAAGATTACTAGATATTTTTTAACTTTCTAATATAAATTTTTTCAACATGTACAAATTTATCAAGTCTCTTTGTCATATAATACATACTTATTGATTCAATAAACTGACATATTTGACTAACAAACACATGAATTGTTGAAATGTCATTCTCAATTAGTACATTTTTTATTTTTTTATCAAACATATGCATCAATAGATCAAATGAAACTTCATATTGAATCAATCTTTTTTAGTTTTAAGTAATCAAAGATGGTTATAAATCTTAGTAATTTTAAATCAAAATGTTCTTGTTGCACACAAATTCAGACTCATGAATTATCAATTGTGCATTGATTAATTTATAACTCGTTATCAGGTTGATTCATATGATAAATTTTTTTTAATAAAATATAGAATTTTGGAATACTTGTGACATCAGGTTTATTTTTGGAATATATTTACAAACTCAATTTTTTCATGAACAACACTTATCTACATTCACAAAGATTATGATGCTGATAGGTAAATATATTTTGGCATGATACATATTTTGTGCAATTGTGACACATGAAATTCATGATATATTTTCCATATGTGAAGGAAGATCCAACATGTATGATACGTTATCAACATGATTCAATATCATCAAAAAATCATTGAATTTTGATGCTCCTATGAAACATAAATTTGTTATAGATCATGAAACATGATCTCATATTATTTTTTTGACTTGATGTAACACTCTATGAATATACTTCATACACTTCTAAATTGTGATAACTTTGACTAAAAAAACTCTTCTCTTTTAGATGACTCATTACATCAATGTACATAAAATAAAAGTAATTCATCTTTGTGGATGCATAAAAAAATTGTTGTATAAAAATTTCACAATAAATAAAATATTATTTCACTCTTATTAATGTCTTATTGTGATTGCACATAACATATACTTTACGATTCTATTGTCTTTTTTCTTTTATCATGAGTTTTTAAAAATAGATTTTAACATTTAAAAAATAAAATTTATGAAACAAACTATTAAAATGAAAATCTATATCTAGATTAATTTTTTGATTAAACCATGATTTGTAAAAATTGCATCTTGATACAATTGAATAAGTTGTTGAGATATTAATATTTTAATGATCAACTTAGTTTGTTCACAAAAATCAAAACCAAATTATTTTTTAACAAAGTTTTTTATAACTCTCATACAATATGTATGGTACCATGGAATAGGATTTGTAACAAATCAGTTAATTTTCTATTATTTGACTTGTTTTGTTGAAAAATTAGATAACTTCAAACATAAGTTTGCACATACTTGGATTTAAACACTCAATGTATATTATCCAAGATTTTGTACACATTCACATGGTTTTTAATGTTTTCACATGATTTTTTCACTAAATCATTGTGCGTGATTTTAATCTTGCAGAATTTTTATATTTTTTATGAAAAAAAATAACCTTAAACATTAGTTTTCTTTTCACTTCTGTAACATTTTTCATTATCTTTTTATACTTTTATGTGTAATATGTCATTCTATTTTATAAGTCTGCTTGACATTTTATTATTACAACATGATTAAGACATGAAATGCATGTGAAATTATCCATAAGTTGTTTTTGACCTACATGTACACAACTTTATGTTGAAGGTGAGATTATTCGGAAATTATTCTTTGAACTTCATCTTCATTATTTTTAATTAGTTAAAACTAGAATTTATGATATTCAAGTTAGATATAGTATTACATTATGATGATATATCTATAGTTGTTCATGTGAGCAATATTTGTATTTGATAGATAATGAGTAAGTGTGTTATTTGAAAACAACACATCATCAATCCATGTGTCATGTTAGTTGAAGATTGAGTGTGCTAATTAATGTGCTAATGGGAACAACAAGTCAACAATCCGTGTGTTTATTAAGTAATTCGTCATATCATGAATTTACCATGAGAGTATTGAATGATGTGTAATAGAACTTATATGTGTTTGTACCATCTATATAAGGAAAAAAAAATCATTCTTGATATCTCTCATATTCAATAATTTATGCTTCATCTTTGAATGAACTTTTGTTTCAAATCCTAGTATTACATATTTATGTGTATAATTTTCATGTTGAAGCATTGATGTTATCTTATTCATCAATTTTATCATTCAGATAGATTTTTCAAGATAAATTTTTTATTTACAATCATTTTTTAATCAAAATTTTTGTGTCATTCAAGTAATGTTTTAGTATTTTATTGGCAACATAATAATTAATTTATCTTTTTATGTTTTAACTTACTTTTGTTGCAATCAAATTATTTAAAAAATACCAATTTGATATTTGGTGATGTACATTTTAGTTAATATATGCAACACATTGTCATATGCATCAAATGTCAACTTGATGTCATGATTATGATCATTCGCTTTAAATACAAATATGTATTAAAAATCATATTTTAATGCTTGAGAAGCTAATTGTTGAGAAATTTTTTATTTCCATTTTAAAACTTTACTTATCATAAGTATTAAACTTAATCTAGACAAGCAAAATATTTCACAGATTTATAATAAAAGGTGATAAGTTCTAGAACATATCTCAGTTGTGTTTGATACTCATGTGCTTTTTATTTTTTAAATAGTTTTTATTTTATAGTTCATCATTTGTATTATTTTTATTGTGATTCAATTATCCAAATACTTCAATGATAACTTGTCAAACATTTTGAATCTTTGGATTATAATGCATTCTTTCAACAAACCTAAATATTGGTTATGATCATACACAATTTTGCCACTAAAAAAAATAAAATATATTTTTCAAGATTAAGACCGAAAACTATCGTTTATAAATCTTTTGAATGTACCCGATGCATTAGTGAAGTCAAAAGCATGTTCAAATGTTTTTAATGATCATACTTTGATACAAAAATTGTTTTTGTGAATGTATTTCTCAGCAATTAAAATTTGTAAAAAATTCTAAAATCTTATTCGATGAAGTATTGAGCTTCTTGAAGTTGATTAAACAAATCCTTTATGTGAGATAATGGATATTTCTTTTCAACATTTTTTAATTCAATTCATGATATTTGATATATTAATTCATGCTTTCACTTTATTTTTTTCAAAACTGACGATAGTGCTCCATAAGAAATCTTTTGGTCATGATTACATTCATTTGAGCTAAGTGCGCTTCCAAATATGAATTCACTTTTGTGATTACCACGGCT